TATCATTTTTACGAAAATCAATATACAAAAAGTTAAAAAATTATTGAGCATTTATATTGTGCATTAAGTAGAGCAGTTAAGTGCACACAACAATTCAACACCATCAGACATTTTAATTTATATTTTGAATAAAAGCCTTAAATTTACGTTGAAAATCGCTCACTATTTATTCCGAATAATAAATCTATTAGCCGTTCAGTAATATTTGATTTAAAACCTATTATTGTATAGTTTGTGCGAAAAAGATAAAACCATTGGCAAAATATGAACAGAAAAGTGATCTGACTTTTAGAATATAATATCATCATTTGTTTCATAAATTGTAATCACATTATTCTAATTGGCTCGGAGAAATTTTGACACGACCTTCAAATGACGTATTCCATCAAGACATTCCATCGCCAAATTTTGACAGTCAAGGCTTTGAATGGTCTATGTTGATTTCTAGCCATTTCCAAGTTATGTACTATTTTTTGAAAATGCCGGTAATTTTTATTCAAATTTATTTCCACACTTTCCACACAATATTTGTGCTAATTTAGAATATTCGAAGAAAAAAGACAATTGGGGCACTTATTTTAATATTTAAATAGGATTTGTTCATATAAATTCGTTCGAAGTACTTTTAGCTAATAATTTCAAATCATGATTTGAGCTATTTTTTGTTTTTTTTTTCTCATGAAAAATATCATTGATCAATTTTGATAAGAACGCGTAAATAATAATACAAGCTCAACTCAGCAATGGTTAAATACAATTTCGTCTAAAAAAATGAAAAAATCATCTAATTTCGTCTAATGAAAAATTGTTACTTTTTTTACGAATTCGTCTAATTTTTTTTCGAAAATATGAGAAAATGATCTAAAATTTTGACAATTTTTTTTTGTAATAAAATCGTTATGAAAATCGACAAAATCATCTTAATTCACAATTTCCGAGAAAAAAAATGACAAAATCATCTAAAAATTTCATTTCAAAAAATTGTATGTATTTTTACCTCTCAAAACGTGACAAAATTATCTAAAATTCCAATAATAATTGTTTGTTGACAATTATAGCCTTATTGATATTACTGCAGAAAATTCGTCTATTTAAAAGCGTCAGATTGCCAATAATCGTAGAGATAAAATAACGAATAACGAAGAGAGCTTCCAATGACAGACACCTGACAGATGATGTACAGGTGATATGTGTTTATATGTCACAATGAAATGTAAACAACATGAAGTTAGCGTTTATTTGACATTTTATTTGTAAACAATCGGTTACAATTTTAAATTCATGATAAATGTATGTTTGATCAACACATCAATCTCTTTTGGGGTGAATTCATGTACTTTGTATACATTTGTCAAATGAAATAAATTAAATTTAATTAAAAATCGGTTCTGTTTGTAGCTGCTATTCTGGTGTGTGTCGATAAAGCAAGTTTTTTGCAAAGCGTAAAATAATAAGTGTTCTTATTTCAACCAATCCATTTCGTCTACCGCGAATGAGTTCAATGCATTAAGATCGTCGCGGCGTTTTATTTCAATTAGGTTGTAATTAATTTTGCTGAATTTCCATTTCATTTCAAAGTAGGCCGAATCGCGTAGATACATTTCAATTTTGTTGGCGTTTTTAAGTTTCTTCCGTTCCTCGTCCAATAAATCCAAGTCGAGATTCATGAGACATTCTACTTCTATGTCTACATAAATCTTCTTCACGTTCACAGCATGCGAAATGAATGGTGTGATTTGATTGATATCTGTGATCCGTAGATTGATTTCTTCCAAATTGTGAAAGTTTTTCGCCAAACGCACAGCTTGATCATGTGATAAAACTTCACCAATACGGAGAAACAACATTCTGATTTGGTTTACCTTCATGAGGGCTTCAAATACATTCGAATCTGCATTGAGACAGGAGAAACCGTATAAACCTTTCACTTGCCACCATTCTGCATCCAATATATTCACATAAAATAATACATTCAAGAACAATCGTTTGTATTGCTGGTTGTCGTATAGTTGATTCAGGTTCGATACGATATCGCGCAGGCTATGACTTGAACAAGGTGCAATATCCAAGTGCAGTTCATCAAAATGTATCCATTCATTTGCCATTAGGATATTTACCGTGTGCATGAATATGCCATTTCCGCTATGGAAAGTGCGAACATTTGGATTCAGCCGAAAGAAGATTTTCAAGTTTTCTGGTGCGTCAATGGATTTTGACACCAAATAAAATTGTTTGAGCGATGGATACGATTGCAATAGCCATTGATTTTTTGTACCTCTTTGAGTGCATTCTTTGAGTTGACCATCATTCTTGATTATAATCAAGTGCTCCATATGTGTACAGTGTTTCAGCAAACATTCGTACAACTCACCATCAAACGTCGTCCCGGTGATTTTGATGATTCTCACATTTTTGACAATTCCAGCAATGATCCCATTGTCAATTTCAGCGATTTCACCTTTGTGAAACTCCAAACAATGAACGCGCTTGTTATGATGTGATATCATGCGATCGAACACTTCTGGGCCTGGATGCACTACCACATTACGGAACTGCGCATTAAAGCACAATTCCAACTTCTTTCTTGGCCTATATTGTGTTATGTGTACCGACTGCCATGGATAATGTTCTAAAAAATGCTCCTCGGTTTGTTTCTTCAATTGTTTGCAGGTTGTGTTCACAGAAACCAAATCCTTCAAACATAACCAGCCCAACACTGTTTCACCGGCCAATGCCATCATTGTCAGGAATTTATTGTCGTCGTTGGATGAATCATTCTGCACATTCGGTTCTTCTCCAACATTAATCGGCTCTGCTTCGGTCATTCCGTGACTTCGTAACTAAAATTAAATTTTTCCAAATTACAACACGTATAATTTGTATGCATTCAATTGATTTTTACAAAAATGGTTCACCTCAGACTTTGCTATAAAAAAGGATCAGAGAATATAAACAGATAACGCTTCTAAAACTAATGACTTTACTTGTGTTAATGTGTTTTTGGTATGACAATGCTTTGGATATTGATACACATGAAGTTGCTTATTGCCGAATTTGACATTTGCATTTTGGCTCCAATCGAATATGAAGTTGCACTGCGGGATTTTCAAATGTTTTGAGTTGAAAAAGTAAAATATATTTTGAACTGATGTTGATAAGTAGAGCCCAAAAGAAGAAAAAATGATATAAAATGCTTCGAATTTCATGTCAGTGACCGTTGTCCTTCGCATTTTTCAAATCTATAGAAAATCTAAAGAATCAAATGGCAAAACATGCGATATTTTCATGTCATTGAATAAACTTTCACACAAAAAAAAACACTTGCAGATATGACACAGAACAGTTGACAGGTTTTGTTGTAAATGCTATTTATTTCCATCCAAATATGATTTGACAAGCAAAATATGGAATTTTTTTTTTCTTTCTTTCGTTATCGTGTTTATTTCGGAAAATGGATTTTTCAATGTGGATAATAAAATAACCATTGTTTCTACAAAATGTTTTCAATATTACCAAAAAAAAATAGATTTTTCTTACAATTTTCATCCAAAATTACATTTAAAAAAAGGCAACTGTTTTGTTTTTCCATTTGGGTATTTCTAAAAGAAAGGACACCCTAAGAAATATCGTAGAAGAAAAAAAAACGAAACCAAAATTAAATCTAAAATGCTTATCGTTTACAATTCTCTCCATCGTTTTTGTTTGCACTTAAACTACGAAAATAAGACCATACATCTGGTTGAATGCTTTCGCTTTTGTTTTCGCTTTACAAATAATAAGGTAAAAATCTTTACAAACTAAATCACTTTTTATTCATAATATTATCAAATAGTTTATATTGATGCTGGAATTTGTGTGATTTTCTATGTTCTCAATTTTGTTGTTGTTGTTTGTTCATTCGTTCTTCTCTCATAAAATTACGGGGTTTTCTCTTGTTTGCTTATCTAATGCTACTCTAAACTGCACTCTAATGAAAAATATCAAACTGGTACTCAATTATTACAACACAACAGAAATGAAACTATCGGAATATTGCATTAGATGTGTCTGTTTTATCGCGTCAAAGTATGCGGGAATTAAGATGCTGTGTCACTACATATAGCTTAGATTGAATTAGTTTGAATTGTTCGGATAACAAGTGTCGATTTACGTTTACGCAATTTGTTTTAAATGACCAAACAATTAGCGTTTTTCTTTTCATTTTTTTGAATTTCAGCTGTTGTGACATGAAAAAAATCACAACTGGTGGACATGACAAACAATTTGGATCGAGTTATTAAAAACGGACTGAGAATGACAACTTGTTATCGGAATCATGCGGCTGTGTCGAATATTATAGGCAATTTTTTGTTTCCTTGGTAGTATAGTTCAGATCTTGATGCACATTTCATAGCACACGTTCACCAATTGATGGCAGACGCTTGATGAGCAACGATGCACTTTTGTTGTTATTCAAGTTATTCAAGCTGTTGTTGTTGCTGCCATCGGAAAGGATTGTATTTTCCTTGTCCGACTCAAGGTCAGCCGTTGTTTCTTTTTCGAGCAATAGTTCCTTGGTCAATTGGCGCTGAATGGCTGGCAAACCGTGCAATAAATCATGGGCTGGAGCCGCATCGGGCACAATACGACGCAAAAATCCTGAAGCACAACCCCATGGGAAAATCCTGTTTTTGAACAAAGATATTTTGAAGGGATTAATTGCATTTTAATGGTTGAGGAAATTAAATCGATTGGTTTTTATTCCTGATTTTCTTGTTCATCTCAATGATACTGAATTGAAACCTCATTCACTTACCATTTTACACAGAGCATCAGTTGAAGGTAACGTGGAATGATGGCGAGTTTCTCCTTTCGTTGAATGGCTGAAACTACACGATCGGCAACATCGTCTGATGTCAATGTTGGTACCCATCTGAAAAGCAAATTTGTGATCGGGTAGTTTTCATTTCATGAAACAGCTTGAGTTTTGTACCAAAACTTTATTTCATTTTCTCAAATTCGAATTGCTCGACTAGGAACTTACCTTGAATTAACGTCATCAAACATGCCAGTTGATTGGATAAAGAATGGGCAAATGCAAGTGGTTTGCACTTGGCTACCGAGCAATTCCAATTCCAAGCGAAGTGCTTCGTCAAAGCCAACGGCAGCAAATTTACTCGAACAGTAGTCAATCAATTTAGCGATACCAACGTGACCGGCGAGCGAAGCAATTGTTACAATGTGACCATGGTCTTTTTCAAGCATAGCTGGCAAAAAGGTTTTTGTTGTCTAAACAGAAGCCAAAACAATTCAGAACTCTTACTCATCTCGGTTTGTACGCACATTTCTGTGGTGTCAATAAAAAAAAAATGTAACATACCCAAAAATGTGCCAAAACATTGACGTTGAATGATCGCTCGATCAAGTGATCAGGTGTATCCAATAATGCACGTCCCGAAACAACACCAGCATTGTTTATCAGCATTGTGATCTGTAATGGAGAAGAAAAAAATTCCATTTAAAAAAAAATCGCACTTTATGGGAATATTACACCGAAAAGGCAATCGGCACCAAAACAATCAATAATTTTCTATTTTAAGACTGGCTAAGTAAACAAATGTTAAAAATAGTGATGAAAAAAAAATCATCAATTTCATTAACAACCGCCAATCGACAATCTTAATAACAATTAATTCTCACATAGCGTTCATAACTTCTAAACGGTGTCGAGTCTGGTGTACGGGCGGCTTTCAGATCAGCGCTGCCCGAACCTTCTCTCACGCATTTTCGCTAATAACAACTTTTCGCACATCTGCGCTGTATTGTTTCCATTCCATTTGGGAAACGAGTTTTGATAAAAGCTTTTATACATACATCGAGTCTTTTTCTCTTGTCTCGTCTATCTATTCCCATCAGTGTCCGAAAAAAAGAACAACAACCACTTCATTTACATGTCGGAAATGGCTAGAAAAAAATGTCGTTATTATTGAACTCAAATTCGAACTCTGTCAATCAAGTGTTTATACTTGAAGTGTATTTTTCTTCTCGTCTGCCGTATGGAATGGCAGCCATCCTTTGTTGTTCTCACCAAACATTCGGAATTGACACGGACACTTTAATTAAATGTAAACAACACGATTATTTCGTTTGTATTGACTTTTTACATGATCTCTCGCACACAAGGTGTGTATACACGAGCGTTTTTCTTAAATAAAAATAAACTAACCAAAGAGAGGTAATGCATTTTGTGTCGATTACCGTTTTCTTGTGCGGCCACATTTGACTTTTAGCCGTAAATTGTTGTTTATAGTCAAATGCAGCCGATGTTATGCGCAGCCGAATGGTGTGTGTGTGTGTGTGTTAAGCCTATGCGTTCAATGCACTTTCAAGGCTTATTTGCAGCCCACATTTGTTTTTGAACATTTCCGATCGTCGAAAACAAAGCACACACCAAATTGGCTAGCATATATATTGCATTCACAATGCACATTACCACAAACACATTGTCTACAGCCGTACATGGGTTCAATTTATAAGCCATAACATACTAGAACTGCATGCTCCGATCGATTGTATGCACAAGCACATTGCACACTCACACTCGTGAACATTCACATAAAACGTGCATTTTAATGTAACTAACCAAAGAGCCATTGAAGATATGACTCTTGAAATTAGATTCGCATACCAACAATGATACAAACTATTTGCCTCGTCTCAGTCTATTCATTACCGGTTTTCCATGTGCGAATTCATATATATAAAATTGAGTTTGGTGCAACTCTGCAAAGTCGAATGTACTTAGAGATCTTATGCACTCGATGATCATCACATTGGTTTCGAACCGAGAAACGATCTTGGTTTCCTTGTTGTCGATTCAAGAAAAGAAAAACAAAAAATCATAAACAAGAACAAGACTTGTAATTCGCCAGGAAATGCTAAGGATACTGGATTTTCGTGAAAAATTAAAAAGGCTTCAGAAATTGGCAATAATGTTTAAATAAACGAGAACATCAATAAATTCGAAGACAGTCTGACCCGTTTTTTTGAATGAAATCCAATCGCATAAAACGAGTTCAAGTCTTTCAATGTCGTTTCGTGTTGCTGTCAAGGTGTCAATCTTTCAACACACTGTAATTACCCGTCTTTTTTTCTTCTCTCTTAACAATCTGCGCGCATTTTTGCATGTAATGCTCAGAAAAGCCACCTTAGAACTTTGGATTTCTAAGAGAGTGGAAAAACAGCAACCGTTTCGGTGTATCTATTTCAAGCATTGGCAATGACTTTTAAACGCACTTGACTAATTGGGCTATTTTGAAAATCATTAAATTTGTACTTAATTTTTCTTCATTATATTTATTTTTTGTTATGTTGATTATGTGTTGTTTTTATTAGAGTCGGTGTCTTCCATTGTTTGAGCTTGTAAATTAAAAATTGAAATGATGCTTTTTAATTGGCATGATAAAAAAATAAGTTTTACTGTCACAATTCATAAATTTAGCAAAATAAAAATAAGCCAGAGGTCTATTCGCATATTATTTTCCATTCGAGTGACGTTTTTAATTACATAAAGCACAAAATGTCGTGTAACATAAAGCCGCACGAGTAATTAGTGGAGTGAAAATGATGCACGTATCGTAAATTACAAACGGCAACAAGCTCTGAATGTGTTTTTTTTTATGAAGCCATACTGAACAGATAATATGCAATTTCATAATTTAATCACGTTTTTTTTCACGTTGAATATGTGACGGTACTGATGAACTATGAAATCTCTTGCAAGGTATTCCAAAACGATTATTTGGAAGATTTTCGGCGTAGATTTGCGCTTCGAGCAATTCACGCCGATATTTGCTCGCAACAAAGTCATGCTGATAATTGCTTGTAACAATGATCTCGATAACTCGAATGACAATGAAAATCACTCTGCTGTTGTTACGACCGAAAGTTTTAATGGAATGTTTTTTTTTCGCTAGTGACGAAAGACGATGAAATAACAAAAATTGAGAATGAGCCATTTGTTTATTCGTCTATTTTAGTTCTAAGCGTGAATTTTGCGTCAGTGATTCCGCATTATTTCAATGGTACGAACCTAGTGAACAAATGCACTAAGATAGACGCGGAAGCAATTCCGCGAAGCAACCTGAAGATGTTTTCAACAACTAGAGCTATTCACTTTCCCTACCTCATTCACGGGTTTTAGTGTGTATGTGTTTTTTTTTTTCGTTGTCCTCAAGTTGACATCGAGGTTGTACTCGATAACGTTTTCGAAAGAAAAAACTAATATATATACGGCGAAAAAGAAACGAGAAATTGGAATTATATCTAGCCAAAGAGCCATTTACATAACCAGTCGCAATCTAATGGCATCGATTCTGAAAAAAACACGGACAACCAATCGCATCTTGAGCAAAATTGGCAGCGGAGCTGTTTTTTTCTCGTATCGTTCAAAACACGATGAACACTGTTTATAAATATACACACCAATACACACATACATGAATATCTAGTCTCACTCATACTTTGACATTCAAGTCCATAGCTCATCCATGGGACTCAATAGAGCGCTTATCGCGTTGCGATCGAGCAACATTGAATGGAAAATACTTGCTGAAGCAGACGTAGAAGAATAACCGATGTGTATTTTTATAGCTGTTTAAGAGCATACAACTCATTTTTCTTAAGCCGAATGAAATAGAATCGATGAAAAAAAAAGTTAAAATAGAATGGTTTGTTAAGAAATAGAATTGATTGTGCGGTTGTTGCCCAATTTTGTGTTCCGACGCAACAACAACAAGAGCAAAGAAAGACGATCGAATCGTTTCGATCACATGAACTATACTTACATCACCAACATCACGACGAATAGCGTCAGCTGCTTTGTAAACCTCTTCTTTCTTCGATATATCGACCTTGTAACCAACACAAGTGCCACCATTAGCTCGAATCATCTCAACGGTCTCATCAATACCTAGTAGAGAAAAATGCGAAGAAAAACAATAGAAAAAAAATGGTAAAATTGATGATAAATTGGACAATTTGTGGATAAAAATACACGTTACAACAAAAGTTATTGTTAAACTCGGGCTCCTAAACGGAAATATTAATGTTCATCATCTGTTTTCAGCCATGCGATTCAAATGTGTAAACTAGCTGATTTATAACAAATTATAGCATCACATTGCAAGTTATTGCTAAATTTTTAACAAGTTCACACGGCATTCCTAATGAAGATCAATTAAATTAGATGCTGATTAAGCGTTTTTAACCCATTGAATATCAGCTCAGGTGTCATTTATTACTAATGATGTTGGAAGCCACAATTTCCTAGCAATTTCTTCCTTTTTTAAATTCTCTTTTTGAGGCGAAATTGAATTTTCGGCCATTAAAAATTCGGTTTGAGGAGAAAAAACACTTTGAATCCACCTTTTTGCGCATCGTTGAAGCACGAAAAATTAGATCTTTCGAGAAAAATGCTTACGCATGTACACACAAATCTGTCAGAGTGCTGTCTCACGGTGACTACTTTGATGCCATTCTCTGTTTCCAGTTCATTAATGATTCAGTCATGATTAGCTCAGCTCGTTGCTGCTGTTTTTTCCCTACAATTGCTTGATTCGTGTATAAGAGAATAGACTGCGAAAAAATGCCGATCGCAAACAACAACAACAGAGAGAAAAAAATGAACGAATGAGGAACCGGAGACTACGCAGTGTTTTCATAATTTAGGCGATTCTTTTTTAGGTTGATTATTATGTAAGCTGTAATTTGATTTATATAAATCAAAAAAAGTAGCGAGTAATGTGGCTTTTGTGGCCGACATTCGGTTCAGAGAGAGAATATATCTGAATGTGATAAAAGAAAATATAGGTTGTGCTCCAATAATGCCAGTTCATTAGTGTGGCTGAAAACGAGAGCGCCACATCTTTTGACGTGAGCGATCTCTCTCTCTCTCTCTCTCTCTCTCTCTCACCCCTCTCAAATCGTGTATATCGATATAAATGAAGATTTGAATTGGTGGCTTTATTTGCACGATGCTGTTGTTGTTGTTATCTCAGATAACAAACCAGCAAAGCGCCAGAAAACGAGCAGAAAAACACGATTCAACTCCTTTTCAACCGAAAATAACTGAAAGTTGAACAAAACGTAAATGAGACCTTGATTTTCACTTTCATTTATCTCTTCATTTGTGTTTTGCCTTATATTTTTTGGTCATTCGGCTACACGTCGCTTAAGCTAATTGACGCATTTTTTCCGTCAATTTAAACGACAAGCGATTGCACGCGCTTGGGGCGTTTACGCAGAATACATTCACTTTCGGCGAGAAAGAATGAAAGACTTAAATGCCCCCTTAAATTGTTCGTAAACGGAATCCGAAAATGTGTGTCGCGCGCTCGCGCCCATGCACACATACACACGCACAGCATACGGTAGGAGTTCGACGGCACAATTTGTATCGATAAAAAAATAACCGTATGATTTTGTTTGTTTGAGCAAGTGTTTCTTTTTCTCTTATTGTTGTTGTTGTTGTTGTTGTTGTTGTTTAGTTTCAATTAATCTCCTACATTCTCTCTCTCGCGCGCACACAACGAATGCGATGAAATAGAAATGAGGTTCGTTGCAACGCGCTCCAATCATATTATGCGCGAATATAATTTAAATTAACCTTGTGCTTGTTTTATTTTCGTATTCAATTCGATTTCGATCGTACACTTCTCTCTCATCATATGCTCTCACTCTCCGCCGCGCGCTACGATTATTATACAAAGCATTGTTATACCGACACATCATAAGTGTTATGGAAGTGCCTCTATTTTTTTTATGAGCGTGAACGATCGAGCAAAAGAAAGATTTGCAAGAAGAAGAAGAAGAAGAAGAAGAAGAAGAAGAAGTAGGCAAAAAAATGAAATAACATACTCAGAAAGAGAAGCTTATTTATTGAGCCACGTTGTATTCGCGGTCGAAATTACGTCGGAATTATGTGATTGTACTGCTTTGCCACAGAAGTCTAGCCATAGTATGTGTGTTGTGTTATTTTTAATAACACGAACTTATTATGTATTGTGTAAGCAGCACGTTTTTTGTACGTAACACATGCGCGAATAGCCCCCAAAAAAAAACAATATTGATACCTCAATTGATATGATACAAGAGACGAGTGAGAGAAGAAAAAAAGTGAATGTGACTCACTCGATCGGCTAATTGATCGAAAACACCTGAAGCACTTCGATTCGTGGAAAAACAAAAATTCTATATGTTTTGCCGCTTCTAATCAAGTCAACATGGGAATTGTTCATTAAGAACACACAGAACAATCGAGACCGACAAATACGTCATGCGTTGATTGCAAGTGATTAGCGCATTTAACGGACACTTGTTTCCATTTTCGAGTTAATTTTTTTTCTGCCGTGTGTGTAACATCGGCAAATGCTAATTATATAGTCGCGCGTCTGCGCGGTTTAACGCATAATTGTTGATGCAAATAAACGAAATTACCCATAAAATAAGATTATCTGTTTGTTTTGACCGTTTTGTTTTTTTTTTTTTTGTTGTTTTCTTCTCATTTTTTCGACAATGTCGTCTTCTTTGTTGCGGTTTATTGTGTTGTTGTTTACCATTTTTATCATGTGACGAAGGTAATGAGACGAATACCACTTTTCACTTGATTCGGCGCGATATTATTCATATTTCATATGGCCATTAAACAAAACAATGAATATGATTATTTCTGTAATTTTCATCACGTTCTATCCGGTGACCGGCAAACACAATCTAAGTATGGCTACCCAGATGTGCCATGAATCTTGATTACGGGCATCGTTGTTGTTTTCGCGGACAGCGAAGGAGAGGGAGAGTGTAAAACGAGCCTATTGTCATGATTCTGCTAAGCAAATAGAGGTCTTTTGCCATAGGCCACAGAATATTTCGAATAACATTTCACGAAATTTCGACAAAATCAATTCGAGTCGGAAACTAGTTTTCTATTCGATCCTATCGAATTTATGATATTGCGACGGTATAATTCTTGTATTTCTTGATAATGGCATAGCTACAGATATCATAAAAAGTGTGCAATGATGAAAAAATAACGAAAAATTGACACAAAAAACATAACGAGATGAAAAAAGAGACGAAAATAGAACGAAATGTGTGTGTGTTTACCTTCTTGTTTGATATCCCAAATGACGATGTCAACACCTAATTTTGAAAGTCTCAACGAAATCAGTCTTCCAAGACCACCGCCGCCGCCAGTCACAAGAGCTAGTTCACCTTGTAGCTTTTGCTCCGGAAAGCCAAACACTCTGTAGAATAAGTCCTGCGTAAATACGGAACAGAAGAGAAACAACAAAAAAATCCAACGGTAAAAAAAAATGTAAAATGGCTATAAATCTATTGCTATGGAATTAGTCATGAATGTGTGCCAAATGAATTGACGGATGAAGATAAGCGCTTGTATAAAACCTCGATCACATCTCGCTATGCAATACCTTTCAAAAAAAAAAGTTCAATGCAACATAACAAAACCACTTTTCCGAATCGAATTTTATCACAGCTGCCGTTGCTACCGACCGCCACCGCCATTGAAGCAGGCGATTAAAACGACTTCTTTCACACTTATTCAACCTATTTTTAAGCTTGCCACTTTTTCAGAAAAAAATCGGAATAAAGAGAAAAAAAAAATTATAATTTTTCTCTGTGTGTCATGCTTGTAAATCATGGTGACGAACCATGATCTCGGTTGAATCACATTGATATTATGTATTAGAGTGTATAAATTTAACATATCAAAAGGTCAATTGAGTTGTAGAGCATTTGTTTCAAAATATTTTCTTCTTCTTCTTCTTCTTCGGTGTGGTAAATGGTTACCAACAAATTTCGGGTGGAATTCAAATATTATTCAATTTTATGATGTTCAATAATTGATTTGATACGAAAAATTCGCGGTGCACAATGACGAACGACAACGCTCAAGGAAATGAGCAAATGGCTTAACAACAAACAATAAAAATAAAACCCTAATGACTTGTGTGTGATTGCCCATAAACGGCTACTTTGTAATATTTTGAAGTGTTTACCGCACAAACCGACGAAATAAATCAGAAGCTCAAGATGTGTGGCATTGAAATTCTTTATAGCAGTGTTTTTTCTCTTTATCTTGGAGCTGTTTTCTATGATTTTCATGGGCTAATGGGTGTCGTTAAGCGTATCGTAGAGAATTCAAAAGTAACGTTGTTCGTATGTTCACAGTTTTGAGTTTAGAATTTGGCACTACTGCGACTAGTTTTGCATTGATTACTATCCAGTTGGGCATCATGTGATGCTGAAAAAAATGGTGATGATGCCAACGCCGCCACTGCTTCTGTCTTGTTATTTGTCGTAGTGTTAAGAGCCTATTTCTTTGCCATTCACAAAATCAAACAAAACATTTTTTTCTGTATTTAACGCTGTGTGTGTGTATTTAAACGGTGCTTTAAATCAAATATAAACATTTGACATGGCCCAATAGGTATTTGGCTGGATTTTGTCGACTCGAATCTCTTACTGACGCACAGAATAAATTAAAAGCAAAACAAAGCATTTTTTGTGATGATGTTTATGCGCGGCACTGCGCGGAAAAGAAGAAAAGAAACAGGTAAAATGAAACCGAGACGATATTTTTGACTTCGAACAGCAAAAAAAAAACGAACACTAATTGGCCAGTTGTTGGACAGCGTCAAATAAAACAATATAAACATGGACTTGCGATACATATTTATATTTTCGGCATCATGATCGTCGTCATCAGGAATCGAATACATCATACTCAGGAAAAGTTTTATTCAAATTTCATAATTCAAAGGTCGAAGAATAGGTTTTTCCTGTTGTCGTTCTATGCCGGTCGAACACACAAGCACACAAGTACGAAGAGCCGTTTTTGCGTGTTTTTAATAACTTACAAACGGATGTAAAGAATTTGATGACCGGCTGAAAGAATGTTGATTGGATGGCCGGCCAAAGATTACTTTTTCGACGGAACAAACGGCCCAAAACATGAGATTATGTCGTTTCTTGCACGCGTTTTTTTTCGCAATAAATAACTGTTTTGCCAAAGCAATTCCACGAAATGATACTCTCATCTACGTAGCTGAAGAGTTAAAACAAAATACAGTGCGCGGTCGAACCGTATACTCGTAAATTCAAATCTTTGCAAAGTGATTAAATCGGCAACATCGTCACCATATATATTTAAGTTTCTATGCTCAATTTAATTACATCACCGTCGTGTGTCTTAATCAACAACGTCAAAAGCAGCAGCAGCAGCCGCAATATGTCGCGCAGAGAGACGGCATCAAGAAAGAGAAAAAATATGTTGCAATTGATTTGCTTGTGCAAAAATCTCTGCATTTATCTGTTCCACTTGCGGTGAGCCTGATGTTTCTTTCGAAATTGGAATCATACAACTTGGCGCCGAATCCAATTTAACGTCGAGTGCACGCCGTCGTTGCGAGACCATTCGAAAAGAGATATGTGAATGACATAATTGTAATTTTTATAGTGGTATCTTCGAGATCGAGATGCGGCACATAGCCGTCATATCGTTATCGCCTTGGCATGTAGAAGACTCAACCGCGATTAAAAAAAAACAATGTATTTTTTCTTCCTATCATAGCCATTCAAGTTGTGTTTCGTCAAAAGTATTCTAAATTATTCAAGCGATTTTTGGTCTAAAAATACGATGGATCGAGATTCATGATTGAAAAAAAAATACAAGAAAAAAAACTGATTTCCAAACTTGTTTGCATTGAACGAGACAACGATTTTGGTACAAGCGAACACACAAAAAAAGCTGTAAATCTAATGTGTCCCGTGGAAGGGAATGACGTCGAAAGTTCTGAGATCATTTGCCGATTTTAAGAGCCGACCACGAATTTTTTTCTCTTTTCCTTTTCTTTGACGTGAAAGAGAGTTTTTTTTCTGTCGATGCGAGCGTGTGTGACCAGTCGATAAATCGAATTCCACACACACACACACCGAGCCTCTCTACAGATGATAAATTAGAAATTTGTGGTTCGTTTCTCGAACGATTTTGCGCAAACATTCCAAAGCGACGAAGAAAATGAGATGAATCTTAACAAGATGATCGTATGAAAGCATAACAGTTCTGAATCGGGTACTCACTTGAAATATGTATCCAATGGAAATGGATAAGAACACAATCACATCCCATAGTGTTAGGACGATTGTCGTGAGGATGCTTTCGGCTGTGCCTGGTTCCGTTTTCGCTGTGGATGGCTGTGCTGTTGTGTTTGGTACATTGCCGTTGCCGAGGGTAACATTATTTTCTCCTGCCATTTTTTTTGTCTTGTTTTCCGGTCTTTCTTTTAACTTTAAACTTAATCACTTAAAGAGTCACTTTTTCTTTGAACAATTGCCAAATTGATTCGTATAAACAAATACGTTGATTGATCACTCAAACACGTCAAAGCATGCCTTGCTTCTTTTGTATGGAAAAAACACAAAAATCACACACAAATTTCACCGAGCGCACCAAATTCACATGAACTATTTGCACCGTTAGCCCTCCGAAAAATACAATCAGCAAGCAATTTAGTTGATTTTTTGTTTTGTTTTCGTTTGTCTCTTTGCTGTGTGCGTTCAATATAATCGCTTTCACGTTTTATTTAAAAAAAATACGACTCTCAATGAATGATGTGGTTTTGTGTGTGCGTCTTATTGTACAAACACACTGGCTGGTTGCTGCTGTTGGCCTCTGCAAAATGCTGAATGAATTACCGTGGTGTTGTTGTTTTTTTTCTTCTTTCGTTTCAATTGCTCGTGTGTGCATGCGCGCGCGCGTTACCTCGGATAGAGTGGTTACTGTCGTTTTCTACCGACCCAATGGTGCGGTGGTTTAATTGTATGTTATGCAATTCTAAATTTTAAAATACAGAAGAGAGAAAAGCAATCCAACTGAAATGAAAACGTGAAAAAAGATGATTATACTACACAGTCAAAACAGACTGAGAATGGTTGCATTTTAAGCATAAAAAACTCTAATATAACGATAGGATATCATCGAAAAAATGGCATGTGCTTGATAACTCGTTTTTATGTGTGTTTTTTTCGGGCAATATAATTGAGAGTGATAAAATAACGCATGTACGAAAAATAAAAAGAAATGAGACACGTAAACGAAACCATTTTGAAAATTGGAATTCTCTACCGTTCGAACAAAACGAAAAAGTGATAATAGCGTAGAAAATGTTTGCTTTATGTAAATAGACGACGCGGTTTGTCTTTTTGGTCAAAAGTTGAAAGCGCCACGGCAGAAAGAAAAACCAAACAACAACAACAACAAGAGACTCGACCATTCAGAAATACGCGCGCTGCTGTGTGTATATAGTAATTACGGAACAATACAACATTTATCTCGTTAAAAAAAAATTTCTCGTTGTAGTCTCTTTCGTTTTGTTACTGATTAAATTTCACTTTTAATATTCACGCAAATCCGTATTTTTTCATATGCTCTCGCCGATTGCCCCGCCACTGCACACCGAAGCACAAGTGGAATATATTGATGCGATAATCGCAGTGCGGCTGTTCTTTGGATAGTGCGCGCCAAGTTGAAACGGTTGAATCGAGAGTGCATTACATTTTGGCTACTTCAAAATAAAACAACAATAACTATGGCTATTGAAGAGCCATACGATTGTATGGATAAACTCTTCGACATGCTATTTTAGTCACTGCCCAGCGATGATAGTCTCTGCCGATGATCGTCATTTTTTTCCTCACTATACGAATCTTTTCCATTCGCGTCTAGACACCATACAGAAAACCGAACTGAAACATACGAACTATCGCGAATATTTATGTACTTTGTACGAACTTGTTTGCAATTACGTGTTTCCACACTCATTGAAGCAATCTCAATTTTTGTTTATTATTATAAGGCGGAGGGGAAAAAATATATAAATCGTTTTCTTTTGTTCCGAAATTGTAATTTCGTTTGGCAAACGAGAAATCAACAACATAAATACATTTCCACACATAACACATGCTTGTTGGACGCGGTTCAAAGAATCCACCTCTATTTTACGCGATATTTTTTCTCTCGGTATTTACGCCGTTTTGTACTAGCCGAAAGTAAGTTTTCTATCATTTGGTAATTTTGAAGGAAAATTTTCGTTTCGATTTTATTTTCATTTGAATCGAAATTTAAACACGATGAAAAAAAACCAAAAAAAAAGAGAACGATAAAAACCATGACGGAAAAAGGTATAAATTTCCGATTAAACACATGAAAAATTACAATTTGATAACATTCAGATTTTTTTTAACTAGCCTAATTTTTGTTGTAACAGAACATATTTTCATTTTGTTCAATTTTCAAAAGATTTATCAACAATTTTTGCTATATGGGAAAAGCTCACGAATTAATTTGCAACACTTTTTATTATTATTATGAATGTGATTTGCTAATTTTTTTGTTGTTGTCATTAAACAAACTTATGTATGTGCAGTACGCGAATGAAGTGTGATTGTGCAACAATTTGATACTGACTTATCATGACTTTTCAATCTGATTTGTTTTTACTACGATAGATTTTTTATTTCAACAATTCGCGACGAAAGAAATCAAAATCGTTTTCCGTTCAAACACAAGAGATTCAAAATGTAAGTAAAAGTCAAGCGAGAAACAGAGACAGGCAATTTTAAAAACGAACCTCAAAGCAACGATGCGAAATGGTTAATTTTAAAACGTGAACAGAAGAAGACGAAAAATACAAAAAAAATTACTATGAAATTGTATGGTGCACAAAGTGAAGACGAGAGTGAACCCGGTACCGTGTGCGTTTCGATCGAAACGTATGCTCTGACTGAATGTCTTTGGCATATTGGCTCGAGAGTGAGGCTTACTCATTGTAAAAATTTGCTCTTGTATTGGAATCAAATGTTATACTAGAAGCACAACAGCAACAGTAGTGGCAGCAGTGGAAACAACAATAGCACAGCGCTCACACAGGCAATGGCAAGTAGTAATAATACAAGCGCCGACAGCGATAACACCACAAACACAATGTGTGTTGTGAATCGGGGCCCGTCGCGCGTTTGTATGGTTTGCGTATTATTATTATGATGGTTTTCTTTGCGTCTTATTTTGTCTTCGTCTCTTCATAGGCATCACATCACTTTTGCCATGCGTACAACTCAACCGCAACGGCTCAGGTTCAGTTCGTAATTTTTCCTTCTTCTTCGGCTGACCTGACACAGCCGTGGCTGACAATCTGTGGTTTTTTTTGGTCAATCATTTCCGAATATCGACGGCGGAGAATGTAAACACTGTACTGCACCGGCCGACGACATATCCAAAATCATAGTAATTTATTCACAACGCAACAATTATTCGGTCAAAGTCTTTCAACCATATTAAAACCCATTTTTTCTGAGCCGAAAAGTCTTTGCAACGATTTTTTCAAAAAAAAAACAAAAAAACAAAAACAAAACAAAACAAAAATGCGATTTGTTGCCAAAGAACACAAGTTCCGCGGTTTTTCGGTCGTGTGACATTTATATTCTGTCATCGTTATTAAATACGATGAAAACAACGAAGTAATTCGTGTAATTACCGTATGCTCTGACAGTTATCGATAAAAACACAGACTGATTCTGATTATTATAATAGGAATCAAGAAATTCTGTCGACCAAATACGAAGGCCCAGAGTGTACGGACCAAGCGCGCGCCATATCCAACAGTGTTAATTAAATTTAAACGGACAACGTCATAAGTATCGATTTATTCGGAAGACTTATCGTTAATGGTTCATTCAGCGGGCTGCAATATTTGTAACAATCGATTTATTTCACACGTAGGAACTGCGTTGTTTATTTTTTGTAGGAGAAAAGGTCGCAAATTGGATTTGCAACGTTATTTTTATCACAGTTCACATTTAATGCAGCAAAAAAATGTATCGCAAGTTTGTTGCACTACGGCTTGAATCATGCAAAACGTACGTTTCAATACAGTCGCCTTCTGAAGATGGTGGATTGGCGTAGTAAAATTGTGCAACACAAACCAATAGAGCTACACGGTATGTGCAATGCAAAGAAGGAGCGATAAAAATCAAAACGTCAAGGACTACCAAGCTTTGCATGAAAATTCCGCAAACATTTAATCGGATTCATGACACAAATCACCAAATTATTTTTGTATTCAATTCGGCCAAAAATAGTTGAAGAAAAAAAAACGGAAAGTAGATACAAAAGAAGCACTTACATAAGCCGTTGACTCCAGAAATTACACTGCCATTTGCATAGAGAGTGGCTGCTGCTATTTTTTTTATGCAATTGTTCATATCTGTTTTGTTTACTGGATTCGGAAAGTTCGAGTATCTGTCACTGGCAACGATGACGACGGATATGACAGTTTTGAACGGCGCATGCCTGAACGTGGCGCTGGAAAGAGCGTGAATTGTGTGTATAGACATGTGTATGAACAATACAGCCGTTAGGTACAATGCCATTCGATTTGTGTGCATCTTCCATCGGCGATACGAACGAACAACAGCTGAGTGAATGCTTGCTTGAGGATGATTAAGGGAATGGAAGCAAGGGAATGAGATAAAAAAGTGGTGATGCAAGAAAATAAAAGGCACACGAGCGATAAATATGCGCGACATCGATTTAATCTCGATTCGACGATGTTTCGGTGTGATTTTTTTTAATGTGTTCTTGGTTTAGTCTGATTCTTGCGAAAAGAATTTTTGCGTACGTGATCATTGTCTCGAAGGCGGGTAAAGTGTGTGCACGTGAGGATTTGGGCCCATCATTGTAATATTGTAATCATAATTATTGTGTCAATTCCACCTATTTTATGCATTTATTGAACCTGTTCTCGTTATTACTTTATTCGGCTTTTTCACCGAAAACGCCTTTTGTATCTATGCATTGCTCGAGCTCTCATTATAAATACTGTGGTAATTTTTCGAAATTAAAAAAACCAGTCCCGTGACAAATATTTAAGCGTTATCGAATTCGCAACAGGAATCGGGAACAAAATATTGTATTCTCTTCTCTATGTGTGCTCCTCTCCCTTCCTGTCCCTCAATCTCTCTGCTTTGCATAACATGGAAAAGAACGATAAACAAGAAAAAAAGAATTCAATAATGTTGATGACGTTTAGTGATTTATTATGCATATCCTCCCGGGTTGCGTTCAAAGTTCGCAATGATCAAGAAAAACAGAGGCTCAAACACACATCTCGCACTGAAACAATCTCACTCTTTGTTCGTCATCAATTGACGAGATTAGATTTGGTTAGAAGTTCGCGCGTGCGTGGCTCTGAATCGAAAATCGTTGGGAAACCGGTCTGGCCCAGTCTCGCGACCACCATAACAACGTAGTTGCCTGTTTTGTTTTGATTTATTTCAAATTCCATCTTCTTGTTCGTTGTCAATTCCGATGGATGTTGGCCTGAGAGAGCAGTCTGTGCGCAACGATTTCGCATCCAAAAGTCATTACGAAGTAGTCAAACAACTGAAACAGACTTTGATTACTGTCGATTGCCCTTTGATATTCTCCCGTCTAGGATTTTTTTTTTCGCTTTTTCTGCTTGCTACTTGCTTTCGAAAAGGAATTGCTTCATTCGTCTCACGTCTCTTTGCCTCATCATAATAATCCAGAACGGCTTTTGTTTGGCTTTCGATCAACAACCAGTTATCGCATTCGGCTCATTTAATCAGGGCAGTTCATTTTTCCGTCAATATTTTCCATACTTATTTCGATGTAAACTTCCTCTCTGTTGAAATTTTTTGCTTTGGAATACAAAATTAAAAAAAAATCAAATATGAACACACAGTGGATTTCGTCCAATTCAGGCCATAAATAGACACTTGATAACCCCGGTCGAAATCTCGTAATCGTTGAACCGTATGAACCATCTTTACGCTACTCTCTCGGTATTTTTTGTTGTTGTTAATCGCAGTTCTGTGTGTGTGTGTGATATATTTCATTTTTATTGAGAGTTTAAAATTTGTGTTTGTGTTGGGAGCATGTGTCTGCGGTTGTTGGTGTTTTTTTATCAGTCGGGGGGTTTTATTCGCTTGCTATTTCGTTTGTTTCATACGTATTATAATATATATGTTTAAGATTTGTACATTTCAAACTTTGATAGTAGGTCAAACCGCAATTTTAAAGGAAAAGAAAATGATGCGGATCGTGATTCGATGGGACGAGGTCACAAATCATAAATTGAAATCTCTTCACGCTGCGCTCTCATCTCAAAATTTGTTCGATCGAAATCGAATGAAATTTTGTGTGCGAAACGATGTCGCTGATTCAAACACGGAATATGTTTTGTGTCTGATTGACGAAGAGAGTGAGAGTGAGACCGAAAAATCAGTAAATTCAAATTCGTTGCAAATTTTTATTCGCCTGGTTGATTTTAACAAAAATTTGTCTCTCGTATTTCTGCCCGGTGTTTCCAAACGTAAATATTCGCTAATCGTTAGACATTTGAATGAAGCGAAAATTCACATTAATCTCAATATTTCTCGTTTATTTTATGCAAGTAATTGACCCAATCTGAAACACGCAACGCACACGATATTACGACAGATAATGACGAAAAAAAATAAAAAATTAAATAAAAAGATGACTCTAATTTCAACAAAGAGTTTTTATGTGATTTGTAGCGAAACGTGTTCGCGAAAAGCGACATCAAAAGCAGCAAGCAACAAGTGACAACAAAAAAAAGAAACAGATCTTGTCAAATCACTTCCAGATCAACAACGTTTCAGTCATTTTCAAACCATTCAGCGTACCGACTTTCTTCCATGGCCGTCGTCGTTTCAATTCATGCATAATTTCACTTTCACTCTTATTCATCCATTTCTCTCTTTTTCTCTCTCTCACTCACTCCATCCCGCTCGTTTATATATTCGCGTTGCGATCGAGTGTTATGTTATTACGCTGCAAACAATGTATGAGCTGTACCTCAGCAGCAGCAGCAACAATAGCAGCGCAGCAAGAGTAGCAACGGCAACGACGACAGCGGCAGCAGCAGCAGTGGCAAGCATGCGATTGTGTGTATGCTATTCAAAACGACCGTAATTGCAGCCCGATTCATCAATCGGTACAATGTGCTGTGGCACGAAGACGGAACGCATTTCTCTCTCTCTCTCTTGGCGGCATAACAAATAGTCAGATTTCATTTCCTTCACACGGTGTCTTCTATTTTGTTCAATCATTGGCCTTTTTGCTTGCATCTCACACATACACAGCCTAACGAGATGCAATCGAAATCGAAACATTTGAAAAGATAAAATGCTCAATTTCATTTTCAAGATACAATTTTGAGCTACTGCATCACATTTACCGTGTCGATGTACTTGCGGGCTATGGTAATCGTTCATAAATTGCGGCATTTTATCATATTTTTCCTCATGCACATTCCCCCTCCCCATTTTTTTTTAAATGGCTTATTTGTATGCAACGCTAAACCAATTACTATTCAGTCAGTTCAATTTGATTTACGACCAAATCTTCGTCAAAGAATCACGCAAAACGAAAAGTACGAAGAAAACCGAATCATAACAATGGACTAATTGACAATGAATGTACGACGCCGCATGAAGGAGTGCGAAAAATAAATAATAACAACCATCCAGCAGCTCAGTTGATGGCAATACGAATATGAAATGTGTCATCACAAGTCTGTAAATGAATCCGAACGGCCAATATATATATTTTTTTGCCAATGACATTGGTAGTTTAGTCGTAAATCAACTTCTGTTTACATTGTTCGTTTACCTCGCTTAAGTCAATATGTGTTTAGGCATATTTCTGTTCGAGAGACCACAACCAAACCAGAAGCAGATATTTTTTGTGTTAACGCCAATTGTTTATTTGCTCACACTATCATGTTTTTTTTTGCATATATATAAATTCTTTGGCTCTAGTTTTTCCGTTGTGAATGTTCTGGTTAGTCTCTTCTGACCAGTTTAGCATATAATCACTTTTCCGTAACCTGCATACGCTTTCAAGGTAATAATGGATTGCATGAAAAGTTGTGTATCGAGGAATACTGAAGAAAAAAAACGTAATACTTTTGTATTCAACCAAACCTCATACCAACTGCTATAGCATAAAAAGCGTATGCTTTGAATACACATTCAAAGGTAAGTATGAATATGAAGAGAAAAAAAACACTCTCTCAATTTGATATTGAAAAACAACAACAATCGCACTTCCCATGAAGCATGCATATTGCAGTGCGGAGAGAGAGAGAGAGAGAGAGAGAGCAACAATTGTAACTGAAATTTACCATTTCCAACAACTGGAAACATTGACATTAGAAAGAGACAACCATAGAAATGTTCTGTTGCTATTTCATTTTGTGACATTTCCAGTTGTTGTTTTGAAACGTCAAAAATCCCGAAATGCCTTCATCTGGTGTTTTTGGCAGTGGTGTTTAGAGTAAAAGACAACAACATTTATCCTTGAGAGTTTCAACGTAAAAATTTGGATATTTCACCATGGCAGAATGCCTGCAAATGTCCCAAGATGATCGAAACGATGAGAACAGTGATACGGACGATGATGATTACGAGGAATTTTGTGAGAATTTTACATTTTCGGTGAGTTAGGCCACAATTTGTTTTCGATGAATGAGTGAAATAAAGCTGTGTAATTTATTTGTTTTTAGCCAACATCATCGACGTGTTGTGTATGTAATGGATATTATGCACCAAGTTTCGGTGAACCATTGTGTGGAACGTGTCATGCGTTTCTATTCCCGATAGCGGCCGAAGAGAAGCGTTCCACTGATTTGTCTGACAACGATGAAGATTCGGGCAACGATGAACCACCGTACAAGGAAGGTACAGTAAATCCACCAGCTGGGGCTCCTGTGTATCGAAATGCTCAAGGTGAACCACAGGCCGATTCCGATGAAGATATTGTTGGACCACCCGATGATGCACCACCACCACCGCCGCCGCCGCCGCCAATCATACCTATTGCATCAACATCAAGAAGCAATGATCGCATTGCTATTTATGAAAATGCATTTATGAACGATCGACCAGAACCACAACCACCACGAAATCTAAGACAGTATTTAAACGCATTGACCGAAGGTACACATGAAGCTAACCAGAACCCAATTCGACAAGCAGTCGTTGTCAATGACGTTAACAACGAAATGGTAGCAGCAACGACTAAACCTGGAACCATTTCAGCACTTCCAGTCGAAGTTTTACTTGTGATATTCTCCTATCTTGATGATATTTCGCTGTGTCATGTCGGCGAAGTGTGCAAACAATGGAAGAAAATCTTAGAAGTACATACACCACAATCACTATGGCAAAGAGCAACCAGAACCAGGTGGCCACTTTATCATCAGATTACCAACACTACCAATTGGTTTAAGGTAAATAGTTTGTGTACTGTGAATGACGTGATTTTTCTTAAAATAGCCCAATGTTCCACATTAAGGAGAATTTTAAAGTGTTGTTGATGATTTTCAATTTTTTAATTCGTTTTTTTTATCGTTTCCCTTTATTAACGCCAATTAGATCTATTCATCATTGATGTCATCATGTTTTTGTCGCACTTGTATCGTGCAAATGACATTACGGACACCGCAACAACGGGAGAATCATTTTAGAGCACGACGACTGCGTGGTGATATACGCACATTAACCGCTGACGCAACCGAAGGAATTGAAGCGGTTCCTCTTGATAATTCACTTTCACATTGGCAAGCTTCTATCATTGGACCACCTGGGAGCCCGTACGAAGGCGGAAAGTTCTTTTTACACATTTTGATTCCATTTTCGTAAGTTATCCAATTGATTAGAAATTGCGAAGTTGAGATTTGTACATGTAAATCATCTGTTTTTTTCATTGCAGGTACCCAATGCATCCTCCTGTTGTTCGATTTCTCACCAAAATCATTCATCCGAATGTGTCACGTCATGGTGACGTTGGAATTGATATAATTCAGCATAATTGGTCACTGGCCCTAACTATTTCGAAACTTTTGCTTAGCGTGCAAAGCCTCCTTACCGATCCTTTTACCGAGGTATGTTTTTTCAGTGATGAATTTTGATTTTTGGTATGGTGATTACTAGAAGTTACCACCTACTTTTGTAATAAAATTCATTGTATTTAATTGATAGCAGCAATTGAATCATGCCTAAACAATATTCCGTTTTCATATTTTTTTTTCTTCTCCACATTGGGTTATAGATTTGTATGGAGCCAGAACTGGGCCGTTTGTATGAAGAAGATCGGCCTCGATTCGAAGCATTGGCACGCCGCTTCACCTGGAAGTATGCGATGTTCGAAGTGATTCCATAAATTGACTGAAATCTATATTTTACCCTATATGTATCTAGATATTCTAAGTTTAATTGGAAGTCAGCAAATTATTGGATATAAGTTTCATTCAATTCAACGATTCGATGGTTGGAATAAAGACATGAATAATCGCAATGAAATATTGTTTATTTGGACCAGATGTTTTAAGTTTTACTTTTGTGTCGACCAGTCTTAATGTTATGATTGATTTTGTGACAAGCGCGAACTGTCATAATAATCAAGTGACAATCTGGTGATTCAGGAGAAAAAAAAGTTCTAAACATACGACTGGTTACCCATAAATTAGATTTTCCTCCTTAAAATTTAGCAAATATTGTGTTATTTACGCCGAACACTTGCCGTTTTTACACTGCCCAGTAGAATGGGACAAGCGAAGAGTCAGTTTTCCGATGAAGAACTTCAAGATTATGAAGACCTGACATTTTTCACCAAAAAGGAAATTCTACTGTACGTAAATGCAGCCCAGCCAATGTCATCTCATCTTATCACACTCTGTTGTTTTATTTTCAGTGCCCATAAAAAGTTCAAAGCATTAGCACCTGAAAAAGTGGGCCACAACAAGAATGCCAAATTGTCCATGCAAAAAGTACTTCAGTACCCTGAGTTGAAAGTGAATCCGTTTGGCGATCAAATTTGTAAGGTGTTTAGCTCAAGCAACGATGGTGATTGCACATTTGAAGACTTCCTCGATATGATGTCGGTGTTTAGCGATGCAGCTCCGCGATCCGTTAAGGCTGAACATGCGTTCAGGATTTTTGGTAAGAATTTGAAATAGTTTTTAAGGTTATGGTCTGATTTTTAAGTCATGGTGGATTATAAAAATGAAGAATGTAGGAATTAATGAAGAAAATTGGGTTATAGATTTTGATGGTGATGACATGTTGGGGATTGGTGACTTGAAACAAGTGATTGAACGCTTGATCGGACCACAAAATAATCTTTCGGATAACGACATGAAACAGCTGATACAGAACATTTTGGCAGAGGCTGATTTAGATGATGACCACGCTCTCAGCTTTCCGGAATTCGAACAGTGAGTCATTCAATTTCAATGGCATTGAAATTTAGCACTAAAATCCAATACTAAAATAATAAAAAAAAATCTATTTTCTTTTGCAGCATCATTGACAAGTCTTCCGATTTTATAAAGTAAGCTGCCAAGACCATTCATCTCTGGTGACCATGAAACTAATGACGTTCTTTTCAATTTCAGCTCGTTTCGGATGCGTTTATAAGCACACAATTCACGGCCTATCAACATTGGTGTATCTTTTACTTTTGTCGACTTAAACCTTTTTTAGACTTGAGCAATTTTGCACAACATTTTAAGACTTCGGCAATTATTTTAGACTTGACTTCTTTTGTTTATACGTGTTATACGCGTTATTTGTTTGTGATTTTACACTATATTATTACCTAAAATAAGGCTTAAAAATCGGTTTTTCTTTTCATTTTTACGCAATACATAATCTGTATTATCTATTGTACCAAGCCAAAACCGAAATAAAAACGAAATCAATTTAATAAGGATATAAGGCCATAGTGTTCTATTTCATTATGAATTTTTCACATCGAGTGCATTCTTTGGTTGATTCATTCTATTTCATTCAACGCAAAAGACGTGTGTAATTTTGGGACAAAATGGTAAATGTGTCAAAAATAGTTCGAAATTTCTCCGCCAGTCTTCACTGCACCTTTTGAAGTTTGTTGATAGAAATAACTAGGCATAAAACAGTTTGTTGCAAGCGTTTTGTTCAGAAAAACTTGAATCAAAAATGTCTGAAGTGGCCGAAGAAGAGAATCCAACCGCTGTAACAACGATTCGGGAAACTGTGAAAGAAAACATTCGAATCGCTCGATTAAGACATCGTCAAGATGAGCTTGATAACTTGCGTATTACACACGGCGATCCTGAAGATGATTCGATCAACTTGCAAACGTTTACGAAAAACGATGTGCTGGATATTGCGAACAAAATCAAGAAACAACGGCATGCATCGACAACGGATCTGTTGAAATTATGTCATGCATTTCTTCAGAGTATCGACAACATCAACTGTTTTGTTAATACAACCGGTGCCGTGCCGGTCATTGTCAAGGAAATGACAGGTAAATCATTCGATGAGGCTTAAGTGCTTGAATTGAATTTAACATTGAAATTTTGAATTAAATTCGTTTTCAAATCAATTTTCATTTGTAGGGAAAAAAACGGAAACACAAATGCTGGCCATTGAATGTCTGTGCAATTTGTCTCTTGGTTCAGAGGACACATCAGAGAAAGTAGCACAGAAGGCAGGCACTTATTTGCATACATTTTTACAGAGTTCCAACGAATCAATCGTTGTAAGTACTTTCTGGTGTGGGAAAAAGTTCAATTGTTTCTTTTTCTTTTTTAACCGTTCAAAATTGAAACGATTCCTGAATTGTAGCATTTATTGACTTTTTAAATGGAAGTAAATTTCGACATCGCAAATCGGAAAAACTTAAATAAAACTTCCACCAATTAACCATTTTGATCTGGTCATTTCTTTACAGAGAACTTCATTGTGGTGTTTAACCAATTTGATTGTTGCTGGGAAAAAACCGTTGAAAATTATGATTAGTCAAGAAATAATCAGTGCATTGATCAATGTCACGCTTTCAATTCACAACCGAAATCTGACCGATGAGTCATATGTTGCAATTGAATTGATTCTGGATCATGGCGGTGTACCAAGGTGAGAACTATCAATTGGAATTTCGATGAAAAATTGGATTTTTCATGAAAATGTCGGAAAAGAGTAGAAAAAAACTTAATTTTTTACGTTTTCTATTCATTTTTGTCCTTATTGCACCGCACCTACCGAATCTGTCATATTTCAATTCATTTACTAATTTCAAATTATGCCTTTACAATGTTTCCATCCATTCAATGCTTGGACCATCACAGGCCATCAGATATTGAAACACTGTGTGCGAAGTGGATTTTGCATCAAGAAGCGCCACTCGATTTGGGAAAAACAAAAATCGTCTATAAATTGTTGAATTTGCTTGAGTTTAAGTCCAACGATGCAATCGAAATGGATAAGTTGGTGTATATTTGTTTCGGAACGCTTCTTAACCTGTATGATGTCACGTCGTCTTCTCCGCCGGCACCATCGGAGTCTAGAGAATTTCTTCATCAAGTCGTTCTTCTCATGCGGATTTGTTCGAATCTTGTGGCGCTGGAAAATTCGTATGCTGACTACATCATCGACAATTGGTTTAGAACACAGTCTCGTTCGTTAGCTACCTTTTTCAATTACTTCATCAAACAAATGGCTGCAACGAATCTTTCGATCGAAGAAATCTATTGGTTTATCGGCAATCTAATGAAATGCCAACTCAGTGATACCACGCTAAAATACGTGGAAACTGATGAATTTTTTGCCAAAATCCAAATGGAGGTGTGATGAAAATGTAAAAATTACTTAAACAATTCGAAAAATTGTAACAAAAAACTGCGAAAAATAAATGAAAAAGAAAATTTTTATTTAAAAAAAATGCTCTGAATTTTAATTTTCGAAAAAATGCCACTGGAAGCAAATTTTATTTCAACTCTTTGGTGATAATCCCAACGTGTGATGGTTGAGGCAATGCCTCAATGGAAGACTTGAAGTGAATTAAATAAGGCATCAAAAGAATTTGATGATTAAAAAAGTAAATCGTATCGCAATTTCCAATCGAAAATTGCAAAAAAAGTGTTGTCATTGTTTCGTTTTGGTTTATTTTTAGTCCATTTTTGTTTGTTAAAATTTATAATGGAGAACTGTGGAAAAAAATAGTGGAGTATTTCAATCAACATTTGTTACTTATCATAGGAAAGTGAAGTAAACGAATATGTTCATTGTTCTCGGGACGAATTTGTTTTGTTTTTTTTGTTTGAAGAAAATTGTCTTATGCAGTAGTTTCAAGCTTATTATTTTGGCTCTATAGATTTCTTTAGATATTAGTTACAACTATAATCAAATTACCATTTCAAACAAACTTAATCTTTCGCAAAAACGACGACACCGAATGTTTTTTTCTTCTTACTTTTTTTTGAGTAAATGAAACAGCCTCAATGGCTCCATTATCAATCCTATCTCTTATACATAAAGAAGATTTCACTTAACACTTGAGTAATTGGTTAGCTTTTATTATAAATGTACTATAACATGATGAAATTGAAAAAATCTAAAAACATGAACAACAGAAGAGAATTTTAAAATTTTATGCGAAAAAAATTAAATAGAATAAAAGGAGAGGAAATTCAATGGTTTGATCAACAAATAAAATCAGAAGAAATAGAACAAATTATGTTTGCGGAAAAGAAATGAAACATGAACAGCAAAAGACGTTATAATAGTAAAATCTCTAGCTTATGCAAAATTGTCGAAATGGTCTTTAAAGACATCAATTGTAACAATATGTGTTGGATAGCAATTGCAACGTGCGACTGGCCCTAAGAAAATACCATTGGCATAAACGAAGCGGGATTCGATCCAGCCCTTTTACAAACAAGCCAATTCTACTTTTATAATACAATTTTTTTTAAATTATGAGCCCTAAAATCTCAGCCTCAGTAGTGTTTTTGCCCAGATTTTTTTCTACGTCCTCAATTTTTATTCTTATCACGCCAAAGCTATCTGAATGATTGGGAAAAAACCTACGCACTTCCATCATTTCGTCCGAACAAATGAAAAAATTATTTCATTTTTTATACCTTTTTCACTCGCACTCGTTTATCCTCTCATTCCTCCATTCTCATTACACTCATTTGCAAATTGTTTTTATTCGTATGTAAATTTGTCTCTAATTTTTTTTTCGCTTGATTGTTGCTGGCGCTGAGTGTTTACATTTTTTCTGCTATCAGCCGACTTAAAAGTAGTATTGAAACGGTGTCTAAAAATATAAATTATCATTTGTTTGTACGATGAATTCTTTTTTTTTCAAATTTCAAAAACAATAATCTGTCTCGTGCCTATTCTCGCGTCTCGATACTTTTGGGATATTGTGTTTCACTGTCAAATGGAGGGCACAAATTAATTATTGTCAATTCGCACTGTCGCTCCATTAGCTAGGGAATTGGCAGACTCATTGAATGAGCTACTGGATTCGGTTATCATTGACGTTGAGCTATGATCATGTTTTGCTTGCTCCAACTGCCTCAGACGTAAAATATCCTTTTGTGACTCCTTTCCTTCCACGTAAAATATACTTCGCTACAGTTTTGAATAATAAAAAAAAATCACAGGGACATTAATACAATTTGGAATACAAAGTGATGACACTGACTAAGTAAGCGTAAGTGTTTCATTTATGCAAAACATAAAATTTCATTTATGAATAAATTTTTGAATTGTGTGCTTTGTACAATGTGAAATCATGTCAATTTTTGCGTTTGATCAAACGATGGCCAAATTAGTTTGCTTTTTATATATTGAATAAATGCTACGAATGGACATTTATTTGTGATCTGCAATGATGAGAAAAAGAGTGGAAAATGAAATTTGCTTGAAATTGACGTCGAAGCGAAATTGATTGTAAGTGGTCAATATATTGAATATACTTAACACTCATTAACGATTTGTTTGAGTCTTGTGTACGGTAAAACAATCAGAGGGAAATTTTCAGAAATAAACACTCATTACACACAAGTATCGACTTGAAAAAATTCTCTTTGTAGAAGTTCGACTATCAATAAGTATATTAAAAACCAGCTTCACCTTTTCATTTTTCTCCGTTAATTTGTCCATTTTGTCGTAGATAATGCCGTGGATATTCAATTCTTTCAAAAATTTGATCGTTTCTTTGCAATTGTTCTCATCGCCCCAACAGAAAACGATTAGACCAAGATCGGTGGCTAAATTCAACTGGAATGAAAACCGATTTGGTTGAATATTGTGTCAGATTTTTTCAAAAAAAATGATTTGTTAAATTAATAGGTTAAAAAATATGAAAAGAATCAGCAATGCATTAAAAATGTCCTTCAATAAAGAACCCTACCTGATTCGTATCACGTAGCAAATCCATAGTATGTGCAACAATTCCCAACAGTTCATTTGAATTGGCATGGAACACTGCATTTGCAATGGTGTCACCGCGTGGGTCATGGAAGCTTTCATACCGATCAGAAATACCCTGCGACAAGAACATGACAGGATAAAGATTTTGTTTTTTGCGTAACATTGTACAAATATCGGGATCAAAGCATGAGAACACCACTCGACGATCGCCAGCTTTGCTCAACACTACATCCAAAATACAGTCCAGATATACATTTGGATTTTTGTTGACACGATCCATTTCGTGTCTGCCATCATGTAATTCCATGTTCCACTTGATTTCAATATTAAATCCGACACTTTCATCGAGGGCATCAAACACATCAGAGAGCGGTGGAAATGGTTGATGTTCATCCAAATGCTCATCAAAGAATTTCGGCTGTCTCGTTTTACCTTCAACTTGATGATAGACTTTCAAGTGATTCAACTGGTCTAATGTTAATTCATTCATTGGTAATTCGAGGTAATCATTTTCATCCAGAGACCTTTTCTTCTTCAACGAAACATACACGTGAAAATCGTGGTAGATAACCGGTACCAAATCTTTGCTCAATTGAACATCGAATTCGACCTAAAAAAAAATTCTTGATTTTTGTACAAAGACAAGAAATCCAAATAATTTTTATGGACAGAAAAAGATATATTCTTACCATATCTGCTCCAGCATCACCGGCACGACGAAGTGATGCGATGGTATTTTCTCGAATTGCATCGTCTCCTGACGTTGGCTTAAAACTAGTTCCCGCTCCACGGTGTCCAACATCAAGACCTGTCCATCGTTTGTTCCAGTGTCGGCAAAACGATCGCTTCATATTCAATTGCACCGATGAGTTCAATGGTGAAATCTGTGTTCGAGTCAGAAGCCAAATAGAATATAATAATTTAAGTCGTATAAAATGAGTAAAAAAAAACATAAAAATGTAAGATCATACCCGAATGTATTCAATGTTCATCATACCGAGCGGACGATGTTTGGTCGCACACGTGATGGGTATTTCAATTTTTCCATCGGATTTGCGTAAAACATTTGGCAATATATAATGATAGCCTAAATGATGGGGTGGTTCGTTATCATCAGGTGACACCCTGGAACTATATGTATACAGATCGATTAGAAAAGCGACATTCTCTGGATCGCCGACGCTCACATTAAATATCATAATGTCATCGGTGTGATAGGGTCGACCGAATTGGTTTTGTGGTTCGAACACATTTGATGTTGATTTAAGCGTAGCCACTTCAGCAAAAGCATACACCGGTTGCTCAGTACCGCCATTCTCGCGCGTATCATTTGACAATGAATCTTCAACTTCGAACAAATTGCCATGGGCTGAAGATTCAGTGGAGTTTATGCGCAAATTCATTGGCGTCAACTAAAATCAAATTTAAATCATTGATTTGGTTGGTTTCATCGTTTTTTTTTTTTGGAGGAGGGGAAATGAGAAAAAGAGGATTTTTCCAATTTTGAAGGAAATCGATTCAATTCTGAAGAAATATGTTAATTATAAACGCTTTCACTATCCTATGATTGTGGCCCTAATCAAATGAATCCAATGAAATAACTAATATCAATATTTACTACCAACTTGATAGGCAAACAACCTGCACAATAATAACCTGCTTTCAATCGTCATCTACTAGATCTGAATTGTGTGTTGATATGTCAGTAATAATGCAAGTCGGCTAATTAGCCGCTGATAAAGCGTTATCGTTTGCCGCCATGCACTAAATCAAAACAAATACCGCCGGTTTAATCGAAACAACAAAACAATCAAAATGTCAAAGAATAAACAGTATTAAGTCATTATCAGCGATTATATTTAGCTTTAGTCTTTAAATGGGACAAATTTTTTGTATGTACACAAAAAATTTTCTTCATCAAACTCACTTCATGGAATATTTCTGCGTTTTGAAACTTGAACGTTCTTCTATTTTAAACTCTCCCGACGTTGAAAGTGATTGAAACATAACGATAGGAGCAGAATAATTTGACAGATAACCAAATCGACGCATGGATCATCCTTACCTTGACATAGAGTAAGCGATTTTTCAATTTCTGCTTCAAAATAAATGGATTGCGAATGAATTTAAATTGGAACACAGTTTCGGTCGTCAACCAGCCTCGGTCGATTTTCTCCACCCCATTAATATCGCCAAATGTATCGATTCCGGGAACATTGTTTTTTGACGGTGAGCTGGGCTTCGGCACGGCTGTTTCGGCAACGGGAGACAATTTGAAATCAATTTCTGTGACCTCTCCATGGTCGGCGGAAATTAGGCGTGGATTCAAATGGGTTTCCCATCGGCGTACGTGTACATTCTCTGTCATCGGGTCAACAGTGCAAACCAAGTAACGATACGGCACGTCTTTATTTGCCGGAATATAAATACCACGTGACCATACATTCGAATCTGTGTGCAAAAACAAGAGGACGGAAATTAGTACGCAAGCATTGTTGTGATAGCAACGTTTATTGATAAGTCTTTTTGTGTCTGTGTCTCAACACCAAATAAAATGTGATTAAGGATCGGTGCTGGAATTCTACGACTTTTGCCGAATCCGAATTAGAATCGGAATCTTGTCACAACTCCATCCTCACACCATCTTGCCACTCACCGTTTCATTACATTATTTGTGACAAAAACAATAAGAAGTATTATTCTTCAAATATGGATAAATGGATCCAAACTATAAGACTCTTATAGTTACTTACGCTAAAGAGTCCAGTTAATTTTTTCCGTATTTGCAGAAAAAAATTCGGTAACTCTTGAAGTTGGTAGAATCATTTCGAATAAAATTCTCAAAATTCCGATTCAATTTTTCCGATTGTGGCTCACTGGGAGTTTTATTCAGAATGATTCTACTAACTTCATGGGTTACCGATTTTTTTTTTTTTTTGAAAATGCGGAAAGAATCATACAATATTATGTGAATAATTTGTATCCGTTTATTTATATTTGAAAAATAATTCTTATTGTTATTTATGAGAAAAAATCTAATGGAACGGTGAGTAAAAAGATGATGCGAGGATGGAGTTGTGACAAGATTCCGATTCGGCAAAAAAAGTGTCGTAGAATTCCAGCACAGATTATGTTCATACAATTCAGAATGACTCTCTTCAAACGTGATCAAGTGTATTGGAATATTTTTAAATTGGAACTCAATGAGTTTGGTTCATATTCTGTTATCACATAAGTGTGATGATATTTTTGAAATGATATCAGAATTTACCGTAATCATTCTACTGAAAAACGTGTGCACCAGCAAGATTTTAACCTTTGGATTTATTGATTAACAACCCATTGTTTATGACACATAAATTGGTATGAATCGTGATCATTCCATTGTTATTACACTAACTCTATAAAATTGTAAGCCATCTTTGGGTGGAACGGTTTCAGAATTAAAAATTCATTTATCTTCCAAAACAGTTCCTGTTTCGAGCAAAAGGCTGAGATGGTTGAATATGCAATTGTTTGCATTACTTCGATCATACTCGATTATTCTGATTAGAGCTTGTTTACGTAATCACTTTTTGTTTTCTAAAATGGTTTAAATCGTCAATAATAGATCATATCGCATCATAATAACGACAATGTTCATCCAGCTACCGAAGCCAATGGGAGTGACTGACGGCGGGCATTTTTGACATAAAAATGTTACCAAGTTAAAAGTGGAATATTTATCGTTTTTTTTTTTGCTTCACCGATAAGCAAGCTGGGCAATTGTAAATAATGAATATCATCAGGCTTGAATTGTGATAAGACTGGAAAGTTATTGACATATAATGGTATATAGCTGGAGCGTGCCTATCAATAAATGGCTGTTCAATAAATTAAATATTTTATATATTGCAAAAAATGCGATATTTCTTCCCCAAGCCATATTTTTTCTACCTTCAAACAAATAGAATGTGCTGCACGGTTTAACTAATTTCCATTCGATATAGCCATTTGGTGGAAGTTCTCATGGTAGAACGAAATGATTAAAATAACTGACGCAGAAAGCTAAAGGAGGGCTAGAAAATCGATTTCAAAGAATGAAGAAAAGAAAAAAATTGGATAACAAATGAGAAATAAAGGATAAAATAGTACATACTGAATAAATCGAAAACAACAAGAAAATCACTGGATTCGATGTAGAACAGAGTAAAAACGTGCAAACCACGAAAGGTCGTCAGTCAATTGCTCACTTTTCATGTGCTTTCCGGTGCAATTTGTTATTTTCCACCTTTGAATTACTGAAACCGTAACCAAATATTGGCGTTATGGAATGCGTCTGGCCGAAAGAAACGCTGGCTTTCTTTCGGATTCGATGACCTTGTGTAAATTTCACCTTGCACATAGAACTGTGTTAGTTTTATATGAGAATGTTTTTGAATGTCGCATCGCCTTGACAATGAGTGCACATTTTTTTTCTTCTCGGAACGTCGATCAAAGAACGAGTGAAAATGATAGTAAACAAGAATCAACGACAAATTATCGTGAAGCGAAGAAGAAAATATGAGCTGAGCTTTCGTCGGTGTGATGAATTTTTTAATCAGTGCGACGACGTCAAATATCGTCAAAAACATCACAAAAAATGAAAAAATAGATAGTTCATTGCTCCGACGTTCAGCTCAGCAATACTACGTATTCACTGAATCAACGTCGAAACGCGCAATTATCACTAGTTCTATCCGAGACTTGTTCATTTTCAACTGTTATTATTCTCTGAAATATTTGCGATTTCGTGGTTCTCGGTAGATACTTATTTTGTATTGTTGCCAAAAAAATGACGAAAGTGATTACGTTTCTGCGGCTATTTTCTCTGCGCAAAAGATTTTGTGCTACAATTTTCAGATAGAATTTGGAATTCATTCGACAAAATGCAACGACAATACTTTTCGCCACAAAAACTCGGTTCGGTGAAAAAGAGCATTTATCAACGTTGATAATATTATAGCATCCAATTTTGTTTACAAATTAAATTTAACTCGTTGGCATGGCGTGCACAGTTTATTCATAAGTAACAGTATAGTTTTATCACATTGTTCTCCCCCTCGGGAACGGTTTCTATTCTCATGATTATAGTTCACATTTCACACAGGAAATTTTTTATGTTTCACATTTGTTTGACTTGTCGAGTTTATTTTATTTATTTATTTAGTCTGTCGAATCAACTCACCATTTTCGCGATTCAATTGAACACAATGAGCGGGCAACCAACGACCGAGGCTCGAACATTCACCAGTCACAGCGACTCTTTCGCCGGGCTCCAAATGCTGATTAACCAACACGCGAAATGTATGCAATCGACCATCATTTCCGACTAGAGTTTGACCATTTGCTGGACCTTGGCTCGATTCAGCCGATATAGCCTCACTATTATTTCCGAACAACCAACGCTGCATTGGGATTAGTTTTTTTGTGTCAAATTTTGGTACAGATGAATTTGAACTATTAACAGGTAGCTGATGCTAGAAGAAGAGGATTTTTATTCAGATCATCATGATTTGAACCAGTCAAAGCACAAATTTAATTGAATTTTACAAAAAATAGAAAAAAGATGCGAAGGTCAAAAGAAAAACAATGAAGAAAAAAAAACGAATAAAAAAAATCGTTGACAAATTTTTCTTTCTTGAAGCAAACTAAATATTTCACTCACTCTGTTAATTACCTGCGTAATTTGGGTGCGAATACGTCAAAGTACCGCACGCGCCGAATAAAAAAAATTGTAGGCCACTATTTAATTAACTATTTAATTTTACTTTCACTTTCTGTCAAATACTAAAAAAAATCACAATTTTGCTGTCTGTTTTTATCCACGGGCGACTAATCTGTCATTTTTTCTGTTTGAAATCTGCAATTAAAATATGTTTTGTTATAAAACATTGACAAATTCTTTTTTTTTCTGTCTCAATGTGAACTTTGAACACTTCTTTTAAAACAAACAGCAAAAGTCTACTGAAACAAAAGCAAATCGCCTCGTTCGCTGCTCTGAGATGATTTAATTGAACAAAATCGGCGATTTAGAAACGTGCAGCGACTAACCCCACAATGATTTTGAGCTTTTTTTCAACAAATGTATCACAATTGAGTTGTGCACAATAACAAATTGAGAAACACTGGAGAAGCTTCAGTGCGAAAATGAAAACACATGCCAGAAACGAATATGTTATATACGTGATAGCGTAATAAAAAGGTATAGAAAAAAGCGAGACACACAGAGAGAAGAAACGTGAATTGTGATTATCAAGTAACGTGATTATCGTATGACACACAACATATGAACAGTTGTGTAGGCTACCCAATGTGTACAGAGTAGACACCTAGTACATAGAGCGAGTATCAATTTGGCGATTGCCGTTGGCTTAGTTTTCATATGGTGTTTTTGTGATAACGACGACGACGATGGCAGCAGCGGCATCAGTGTCAACAACAACAATGCGCCAAAAATATCTGTTTTTTTTTCAGTGCGTATATGCGACACGAGCCTCTCTGTTTGCTGAAAATAAAATACAACTACAAATTTAGATCTGACAAACGTGTCGACATTTTGTGCTACAAACATAAACAGCCTAAATAAATATGTTGGAACGAAATTCCGAGTTGCTCACGCGACGACATTTCGAAGAGAAAACTCACAAAATACGAACACCACAATAAAAAGCCGCAGGGTGACAGAAAAAAAAAACGGCCGCACACATCGACACGATCGATGAAATATATGTACTTTGCCCTCGTCACAAACAAACACCTCTTTGATGCTGAAAGCGACTGATTGTTTCGGCAGTCGCAAACGTCTTACTTTCTCTCTTTCCCCTTTTCCACACTCCTTCGCGCCTATTTATACACGCACACACAGACACTAAATCGAATAATGTAGCGTGAACAAATGGCGATGCATTTGCAAATGTAATAAAATGCTTGAAATATACATGCTCTAATCGCAGCAATGAACTGATTTTATTCTTGTAAACTGTTGCTGTTATTGAAAATCAAGTGAGTTTTATTGAGAACGAAGGAGAACAATATTGAACGTAAAAAATTACTTGATTCCACTTTTTCGCTCAACTTGAACGCATTTTTCTCTATCGCCTCTATTTTAAATCATAGTTTTGTTTATCCAAACAATTTTATTACGCGTTATTCAAAATTTTTCACTGAACAAAACCACACTTTTGACAAATGGTTCTCAAGGTTTCATCCAGTTTCGTACACTCACTAGCGAATTTTTCGATACATTCCACTAAGATTGTTACGCTGTCCTAATGTCACTGTCCATATTTTTGCTTCAACTACTTCTGCTTGGAAAACGAAATGACGTATTAAAGTGTTTGGTGCAACGTCTGTTTTCTTTAGAATGCACACACAAAATCAAACATTTCCTGAATTAAAACACAACCTCTTCGTGCGTTGAAACAACAATGTCACTCATATCAATGCGAAAAAAATTACGATATAATTCACACATTCGTTGCTACACAATAGCATATATACTCGTTTGCCTGCCAGGCCAAATTGCAACACAGTGAACACTGAATGCGATTATAAACAAATGTTGACGTTTTATCAAATGCATTCATTCTCTCGTTCGTGTAGAGACGAAGTAGTGAGGGAAAGAAAAATCCGCATCGTGAAGTGACATAAAAGACATAACACAGATGGATAATGCGCCTAGTTCGAATATTGACCCATAGATGGCATCGTTCAATTCAACATAAACTACGGTTTTATTTAGAAATTTGACACAATTCCATTCTTCTTTCAATCCGTGAATTCAGTTTTGTTGTGGAATTTTTACTCAACAACTTGTGAGGGAAATAATGAATGAATTTCTAGTAGACTTGATTGTAATGATTTTAACGAATAACTCATTTTTATCACTCGATAGTTAGTTATAGACAACGTAGTATGACAAAGTTTTTCATGACACTCGATTGTGTTTTAACTTATCAAAAAAAAATTGTTAATTAAAGATAGTCTATTCGTTACGTGTCAATTTTATTTGTGGGCCACAAATTATGGTTACATTCTAAACTAAATTCTATAATTAAGTGAATCTGTTTAATACTATAATTTACTGTAACAATGAGATCTCTCTCAATTCCACCAAAATGATTGGATGAAGGCTGAAATACTACTAATAAATGCCTATTTATTACTGATATTCCTTTCGTGCCATATTAGTTAAACGGATGTTATGGTTTGGTTTTGGTGTTTTTGGAGAACTTGATTCATTAGTATCATTACTTGTGTTGTATGAATTGTTACCTGATTTAATGCCAGACCATCTAAAAAGAAACGAAAATACTTTGAAGCAAAATGTGGGAAAATACGAGAAAAATGATAACATAAAGTGGAAAAATAAAATAAAAAGAAAAAAACAGGCCAAAAAAACGTACTTTTTTTTTATTGCTTTTAGCACGCTACGCTTCATAATGAATAGTGAGAAGATAATGACGCCGATTAATCCGTTTAAAATGCTAAATATTAATTTGGCAGTCTCATTTTTGATCGCAAATATGATGCCCTCAAAGAACCAATTCAGTCCAAACACAATCGACAGTCGTAAAAATATCATGTATCTGAAAATGAATGAGTTGTTTTTGGTAAAAATCAAAAATCTTTTAATCATCAATTAAATTTGAAACAAAGTATAATAACAAAATATGTTTCAAAGTCCTACTTGTCTTTGTTTTTGATCGTGTTTTGTTGTTGAAAACCATCTTCCTTGGAAAATGAACGCTTCATATCCATTTGCATTCGTATAATTTTCACCGTGCTCAAAACAAACAGTACCATATTTATGGCAAATATTATGCAAAGTGGGATATAGTGAAATCGTAGGTATGACTGCGTTCCATGGTTAACTGTATCAATAAATTAATAAATATTTTTGTTACAATGAACAAATTGTTGAAAGAGTTATTCGATGGGACATACCGTTTATATAGCACATATAATCTCCAAAATTCGGTTTGAAATTATCTCCAAGATGTTTCATTGAGTCGAATATTCCGGCGATTATTGTGATAACCGACGCCCATATACACACATAAAGTATATAGAATGAGAACCTTTTTTGATCGGAAATATCCCGTGCTTTCATGATTGCTCTGAAATTTGTGATTTTTAACTACTATTTACTTCTTGGTTGGACAAATAGAAAATAAGCTAATTATACAAAAATACGAATGAAATTGACGTAAAAAGGAAAAAAAAACATGCTTACCGGAAATTCGACCATAAATCAAAGCTTAACACATTTGTCCATGCGAATGTTGACTGAGAAAAGAGGTAGATTATATATGAAAATACTGTGCATGCCCATCCTCCAAATGGCTTTGGTTTAATATGAATCAAAACTAACATTATATAAACTATGGTCAAACACCCGAGATAGCACACTACACATTTTCCGACAAAATTTAATAGTTCCGGTATGCAGAGATAAACCAAAATTGTGGCAAATAAAAATATCACCGAAATTATCATGCCTATTCAAAGAAAAACCTTAAAATGCATCACTTGATAATTTCGTTTCGTTTTTTTTTAAATGAAAAAAGGTGAAGGATAACTTCCGTATTCAATACAGAAACGAAAGTTGAATTGTGAACAACTTACAGATCGGAATGACATATCTTGTCGACTTCTCAGGCACCAGATCTTTGCAAAGCAATGTGCCGTTAGCTATTTTCCCTTTATCATTTTTATGAATAGCGAAGCAATACTCTCGTCGTGTAAGATGTCTTCCATCGTGAATGCCTTGGCCATTCTACAAAAGATCATTAGATAGAACTTTGAGTTTTATGACTCAATTTAAAATAATATCATTCGAATTTCCACAAAATAAAACCGAGATCATTACATCTGTCACTTGAATCCAATATTTTAAATATTTTGGGGCTTTCACACAAGTTTGATCATCGACGTATTTGAAATGATCTTTATCGTAGAGTTCATTGTTTTCATTCCGAACTGAATTTCCAAAATTTTTTGCGTCTTCCTGTTGCTCATCTGAACACTTGATACCATTTATTCTGGCCTTAATGAATGATCCATATGGACAGCACAAACGAATGCATGGTGTCATTTCGCAAAGGCAACCAAAGGTTTTATTGTTCATTTTCACATATTGATCCATTGGAAATGTTGTGCCATTGAATGTGATACTATTTGTATTTGGATCGTGAACTCCATCACTTATATCGATTCGCTCCGATGTATGACACCATTCACCTTCGCCAGGAAACTCTTCACTTAAACTTGAGGAACTGAATACGATGATCAGGCACAGGCCTGTCACGAGCGACTTTGAACGAAATACACAACACATGCTTGCCATTTGCCAGCTGAAGAATAAATATAAAAAAAATATGAAATGTCGTTTGTGATATATACAATCGGCATTATATACGTATTTACTTGATTAGCTAGAATGATTCACCGCCTTTTATGATTGCAGAACACTAATAAATATCAACTGATCGGAGTGGTTTATACAGTCATTTTTGATTTAACTCAATCCAATGACGAGAATAAAGCAAGAATTTTCCACAATTGAATGCGTGAGTGCAAAAGAGCAATTTAAATTCAAAATATTTTTAAGTATATCATCTCCATACAGAAGTATACTTACTACATTTCAGAATATTTCGAATTTGAGTGCTTTTTCGCACTCACGCATTCAATTATGAGTGGAATATATAAAAAAGAACTCACATATAAAAAAAGAAGTCCCTACGATCATATCATCATATTGTCCTTGATTGTGGGAATTTTATTGTCCTCATTTCTGCTCACTTGATATGGAAATTCTTTTAATAAAACCAGAACAAATGACGACGATTCAAAAATTACACTGTACGATGCGCATTTTTTTCTCTCACAGAGCCGACTCAATTATCATAACTGGTTATGTGGATACGTAAAAGTAGAAATTGAATTATAAAGATTATCTTTGCCAGTGTATTGAATATGATTCACATGATCGTTTTGAAATCAGGTGGCCTTTTTTACTTTCAACGTCTATACAATTATATCGAAATCATCGACTATTTACGAACGGTACAGTTCGATTTTGATAAAATTCTTGCCTTTGAAATCTCAAGATGCACATTTCCTACATATTAATACTATATGTGCCTAATGGACACAAATGTGAACAAGTGGGATTTCCCGTATGGCTATGGGCATTTTTAAAATTTTGATGTAAGATGATAATAAAGTTTATAATGAAAGACTGCAAAAAGAGGTCGACAGAAATTCATCATTCGACGACCATACTTGCACCTAAGTTACACCCAGTTATGAAGATACAAACAGGGCAGCAAACAAAATTTGTCACATTGTATAATGGAGGAATTCCCAAAACTTGATTACGTGAATTCACACATTCAGACGAACAATTCATATCAAAAGTCAAAGTGGTTTTGCGTACTACCAAAAAGTTTTTTTTCGATTGAAACGGTTCAGTCGATAAGGTTTAAATCTTATATCTTTAAATTTGAATCGTACGATTTGTAAAAGCTGTAAATTATCGCAAACAATGCGTATAATTATACATTACAATAAATGAAACCTAGATATGAAGAATGATTCATATTTTTTTTTGGTTGTGGAAAACGAGAAATTTATTTCGCGCAGAAAAATGAACAAATTTTTAATATTCACAATTGGAGTGAGAATGATTTGAATTTCATTTAATATTTTAAAAAAAATGCATAGTTAACATGAGAACTTTTAAAAACAAAGAGGCAATTAACGCCATAGGTTTGTATGAAGCTTGTGATTGATTATAATTTATAATTGTTAAAAATTATTCAAAAAAAGGTACATTGTTACTGTTACAACAACAAAAATACAGCCTCATTTTTCATATAATTTGTTGATTTATTTATAAACCAGCGTTCGATAATTTTGTGCACGTGTTGTAGACTGCAATATTGTTGAGCCGCACAACCCAGGGCCATTTCTGTATTATTGAATTCCAGATTACCTGTAAAAACTCTCAAATTTCTCTCTTTATTTGCATTTGTTGAACATTTGCAATTGTTGTGAGATTTATGGATGAATTTGCCAGAGTTAATACCCACTAGCTATCGCAGAGAGTGTTATTTCGCTACTGAGCAGATCTGAACTGAGCTATATTTGCTGACTCAGGCACTTGAAGCGGTATTTTAACACATTCACGGTGCAACAATTTCATTGCCAGCAAAAATCCACGATGCTTTTCAATTTTACTAAGGTGGATTTGCAACCGGCCTGCTCAGCAGTAAAATAGCACTCTCTAAGCTAGCGTTATAGCAAATGCACATAGGCATTGGCTTATTCATGCATAAATACCCGAGATGTGCGATTGAAATGCATCGAAGTGATTTAAAGACAAGGCAGTAAAGATAAACTGGTTCGAGCGCCATAGCGTATTGCGCCGCTTCTGAAATACTTCCCGCTAAACATTTCATCCGGATGCAATTATATGATAATCAAACTTATTTCTGGTTATATGATCTGGCTACATTTGTGTATAAATATTTCGAATCAATCGTCGGGTTTATCAGTATATTTTGAATGCTATTCCCGTTCACGCGGATCGTTGATACACAATCGGGAAGAGATATTTTGTTCAAAGACTTTGTTTTGTTTGTTAACAATTCTTGTCGAATAGAACAAGATGCATTTGATCAAAGTTATTTTGATCTTCGTTTTTTTCGTCTTGTTGGAAATGTGTCAGTGCTTACCTGTGGATAATCAACACAATTCGAACGGTAATTATATATAAAACATTTAACACGATGCAATAAATATAGGGAGTCATTGATGTTGTGGGTTTTACCAATTTCAGAGTATATTGGGACTTCCCTTGGCAGAGAAGTTCGTATGAAAAGACAAATCTTTAATCCTCCGCCAGATGGATCAGACTGGCAAAAACCACGAGGGGGATAGATTTTGCAAATTCGGCGCAGTTTAGCAAATATTCATATTATGTTCATTTTTTGTGTGAAACATAACAAATAAAAAATTGTATAATAGAATGTATTGTGTAGTTTATTTTGTGAGTTTCAATTATAAATAATTGAGTACTTTGATCTTTGAGCCCGTTCTTTATGTTCAATTCTTGAGCGAAAAATAATAAATGTCCTATTGTTTTTGGGAAATAAAAAATTGAAATTATGAAAATCTATCGAATATCCATTGTATTAACTTTACAAAAATGAACTTGCTTCCGTCTTAAATTGATATATTGGTCCAAAAAGATTCAGTTTTGGTGAATTTGAAAAAAAAAATACCGCAATTCGAACAGTCATAATATCTAAGAAGCGATTTACGCGATTCTAAGAAGTACCTTAAGCAAAAAGAAGAAAATGAGTTTTACTGATAATAATATTTGCCTTGGTCGCCAATTTTGTATTGCGCACAATTCCCTGAACTGATATCCAAAAACTAAAATTATACGATGTATAAAAAACCAAAATAATTTGAGTAACAACGAATCATTGCGATTCCATATGTCTTTCTACACGCGTACTGTGCGATACCCACGCCAAGCATCTTATCATAGTGGCCATATACAACCAAAATACTTATTTACTTACTTTCGGCTTGTCATTTGCGATAAAAATATTTCGAGTTATTCAATGTTTTTCAGTAGATTTTAAACGCTGTTCGGATCGTTGATACACATTTAGAAAGAGAGATTTTGTTTGAAGACTTTGTTTTGTTTGTTAACAATTCTTGTCGAATAGAACAAGATGCATTTGATCAGAGCATTTTCGATCTTCTTTTTTCTTGTCATGTTGGTTATGTGCCGGTGTCTCCCTGTGAGAAATCAACACGATTTGATTGGTAATTATGTCCAAAACATTTTATACAACTCAATAGAATGTATGAAGTAACTTATTTTGTGTTTTTTTCTCTTTTCAGATGTTATTAGGTTAGATGCTCGCATAAAACGACAAATGTTGTGAAAAATAATTGTTTGTGTAAACATTATTAATCTTCAAAGTGTTTTTGACGAATAAAGAATTCATATTGCAATCATTTATCGAATATTCATTCTAAGGAGTTTACGAACATGAAATGTGTTTTGGTCTCAAACGTCATGGTCGCTGTATGAACTTTTAGAATTTTTAGCGTAGTTAATATGATTTTCAACATGAAAATGGGTCAAATCCATGTTTGATCATAATTATATTTACATACTGTCATTATCAGTCGTGTTCCCTTTACATTTTGTTTGTCTTTTTCGTGTTCTGAAAAGCCAGCTCGAATCCGTTTAATACAGCAAAGGCAGCATCCGACATCGGATAATCCTGCCAGACGAGCTTGTATATAGAATCGGCACAGAAGCACTCTTGATTTGCATGTGGGAGCAATCTAAGAGTGCTAAATACGACATTGAATGTTTTTTTTTCAGCTGGATTACAAACGATGTAGCAAAAGATGCATCCAAGTCAGTTGGAACGGTTTTCATTTGCTTCCATTGTCACTTGAATGTATATACACTACCGTGCAAAAGTTTGGAACCACTAGGTATTTTTCATACAAATTGACCATTTTTGGTGGACTCATTAACATATTTCGGAAACACCTGCACTCTTGATATTTTGTGCATAGTTTCTACAACGTTTCAATAGTAAATCACAGAGGTTTCATCAAAAAATATTCACGTATTTAAAAAATATATCAATTTGAATTTGAACTGTTTTTTAATCTTCATACAAATTTGATCATTTTTCACACAGTACAAATTCAAATTGCTAAGGGAGATGGTCTAGTTATGAGACAGCGCCAGTTATGAGACAGTCAATTATTTCTGTCATGCGCTATGGAAATGTTGGTATGAGAACTGTCAATGTTCTTTATTTGATGTCCGCCAGTTTTTAGGCGAACACCGAAGTGAATAGACGCATTGCTTGTATACGCACCAAACATCGTGTTGAAAATCGTGTGAAAAAATGATTTGGAATATTTTTCATAGTGCCAATTTTTTGTGAAAATCAAGTTAAAAAGGTGAGTGTAATGCATTAAAATGTTGTATTTTGATTATATTTTGTGATTCTAGTTCGGATTGTTCGATTATGTGTTGTGGAAAATTTTTTGTGAGTAATGTTCAAAATGGCGTCTCGATCCGGTTATAAGACACCGTGTTGCCCAGTTATGAGACACTCTAGATTTTGCACTGAAAGCATATAGAAACGTCATATTTCGTCATTTTTGTTGTCAAAACGCATTTATATGCAATTACAATTGTATTTTAACTAATATTCTCGGATTTTCAGCCATGTCTCCTCCAAAAAAGCTTCATTGCAACGGGCATTGCTCCATATAATCCGGACATCTTTACTGACGCTAACTTTGTCCAAGCCGTTGAACAAAATGACATAGAAGTGGCTATTGATGCTGATATCACCGAAGACGACCAGCGACGTATTGTTTTCAACGATGCCATTGATCCTGTTGGTCGTGAAGAAGAGGTGTTAACATCTGAGCCCTCTGAACTATCCAGCTCGGTGTCACTAATGTCTCTTGCAAGCAACACTTCGTCGGTTTTGGATGCGGTTGGCCCTCTACAAGGCAAAACTCCAAAACCAAAGTCGAATCGTGGACGAAAACCGATGGGAAGTGCTGAATTGACTTCTCCGGAAACCATGTCCGTTTTGAAGCATGTAAGGCCATTAAAGGCCCAATTTTCTATATTTAAGCCATTGAAGGCCTTTATAATAAATAAAGAATAATATTTGAACATTTTATGATGAGTTTCCTTCATATTTATTTACTTGTATTCAATTTTTCTGGGTGTCTCATAACTGGACCAAAATTTTTTTGGGGCCAAAAAAATAGTCCTCACAAAATTGGTCAAATTTTTTTTCGAGTAACTGGAATCAATAAACTTTCATCGGAAAAAAGTTGCGTCTGGACATAAGCTACATGATAGAACTCTAACTTTCCATTTTTGAAAGCCACAGAATTTTTTTTAAATCTAAAACAAAACCCGTCTCATAACTAGACCATCTCCCTTATATTTTTGAAATTCATGAATATTTTTTGATGAAACCATTGTGATTGAAACGTTGTAGAAACTATGCACAAAATATCAAGAATGCAGGTGTTTCCGAAATATGTTAATGAGTCCACCAAAAATGGTCAATTTGTATGAAAAATACCTAGTGGTTCCAAACTTTTGCACGGTAATGTATATGGTCACGGTCAAAAATAAACAAATTTTACAAATCCATCACATTGCTTCTTGATACAATGCGATAGCAACGAGTCAGTTTGTGCGATTGCAAATAGTATCTGAACTAAGGAGCCGACATTGTTTCCATTTGTTGATAACATTTAAAATTGTATAGTTTGTAAGAGCTTTAAACTATCGCCAACTTCTAATTGGACATATGTATGCACGATAATATGTGAAACAAAGATATCAAAAAAGGTTCATATTTTTTTTTGACTTTCAGGAAATGCGACATAAAGAATGACAACCATTTTCTGGATAATTTTGCCTTATTTCAACTTGACACAATTGTGACTTTTTTTAATAGATGGCGCTGTATGTGTCACATGTAAATACCTTAGATAATCTTTGAAAAATTTTGAACTTTCATTGATTTTGGGTTTTTTCAATAGATGGACTTATAAATTTCACGTACAAATATCATGAAAAGTTCAAATAGGGCAAAGCTGGTAGTAATTTTTTATTACGCGCAAAAACGTGTTAAAATTGTTTACACATACATTCGGGTATTTTTGAAAAAATGTTCTTGCATTTCTGACTTTATTCGCATTTTGATACTACGATATGTGCCGCCTCCGTATGTTCGATACATCCGCCAAGCATTTTATCATGCTTATAGTTGTAATTATACTGTAGCTTTTTTTCATCCAATATGCCTCGCTGAGATAGATTTTAAATGCTTATCCAGTTCGTTCGAATCATTCATACATACAATTGAAAATAAAACTGCGCCTGTGAAATCGAATTAAGGAAGTCGGCTCAAAAATCGAATTTAATGATTTCGGATTTCACTTGGTTCTAACAAAACACTTTGATTCAATAGATTGTATGGAGTAATTTATTTTGTTTGTTTTACTAAATTAATTTCTTTGACCCCATCATGAATTTTTGATGTCAGAATCTAAGATGATGAATATCACAAATATTAGCTTTGCTTAGCATCAGTTTTGGTCTTGAGTTCATATTTAACCCTTTAATTTTACCCAGGTCTGCGAGTACTGGTACTTGGTTGATTTTTGGCCATAAATAATTAAATTAATATTCATATTCCTGGATTCCTCATGGTTTAGTCAGGAAATGCGATTGATACAAATAAGAGAACAATCAAATCCATTGTTTAAAAGTGTCAAAAATGTGTCTGACTTGGAAAGCAAATAATTTATCTTGTCAAATTTCTGTCTTTGTGCACATTATTGTTAATAACACGACAACCGCTTGATGTAGACTAATAGTTCAAAAGAGAAACTCCTTTCGTTCAATATTAGTTGAACGGATATTATGGTGTGTATTTGAAATTGTGGAATCATTTGTCGCATTACTTTTGTTTGAATTGTTGCCTTGTTTAGCCCCAAAACCATCTGTAGTGCGAAAAATTGACAATTAAAAAAATAAAACGATAAGAAGAAAATAATGTTTTACTTCACTTCATCATTTGACGACTACCCATTACTAGTTATGCAAATTTAGCTAGGACGTGTCGCAAAGTGTAAAAACAAAGTATTTCCGGTTCTCAAGGGCGTAAATAGGATCATTTGTGCGATTCCAAGAATTTTTTTACTGGAAATAGAATAGACCGACTCGGTCTGGATAATAGCATTTTAATTCTCAAATTTCTTTGAACCGATATCCAAAAGATATGCAGACGAAGTATAATAAGAGCAACAGACTTCGTTCACCGCAAAGCGAGCGCATCACATTTATCGCATAAATCTATCGCATGAATTTATTCAGCGTGATGGATTGTTATGCGCTAACAAAGCCTGCATTCACGCTATTTCCAAAGATTGGAATTGGGTACGATTGTTTTTATATGAAAAAAAAATCGTCCGAGGGACAAAATTTTGACGTACTTGTATATTATTTTTAATTATTTATATATTGATTTGCCCCTTGAAATGGTTCACGATAGTATATTTGCTATTTCATAGGCAATTACACGATTGCGCCTTGGAAGTAGTGCTTTAGAAGGAAGAACGACACCCACGCCAAGCTTCTTATCATAGTGGCAGTATGCAAATTGGCTGAATTTGCAGTATATATTTGTAACAATTACGAGTATGTTTTTCAGTCTTTTGAGTAGATCTTGAACGTTTCTTCCATTCATTCCGATCGTTTGTAAATAACTGAAAATAAATATTTTAAGTGTGGATTTTTGCTGGTTTATTAACAATTCTTTTTGAATAGAACAAAATGCATTTCGTCAGAGCTATCTCAATCTTCCTTTTCATTGTTATGTGGTGATGTCCCAGTGCCACCCTGTGATAAATCAACACGATTCAAATGGTAATTATAACTGAAACAATTTATGCAATTCAGTTTAATGTTTGCAAATGGACAATTTAATCCGTTGTACGCAAAAGAGTGTCATGGTGTTGCTGGAATCATGGCTTAACAAATCATAATTCGACATTAGGAAGATTCGTATTGCGTGCAAACTGCAAACTCTTTCAAAGTGTCTTTTCGCAAACGACGGTTCTAAGATGGGCCTTTGCAAACATTTTGATAAAATCTGCGATTTAATCTTAGCTGTTCGTATGACGTAATTATTTTTGTTTCTCATCTTTTCAAAAGATATTGGAACTTTTCTGCGTACAAAAAGACAAATTGGTGAACCTAAGGACTATGAAATTGATTGGAGAATGGATGCAAATGATAATGATCGTCAAAAAGAGTTGAAGAAAAACTTACAACTTATACAGAGTGAAGAAGATTGATTGAAAAATATGTTAATATTTTGAATTTTTTCCCAATTTCATAATGTTTCAAAATAAATCCAGTACTTCGCTCTTATTCACATTGTGTTCATTTCTTGTGTGAACAATAACAAATGGTTGTCCAATAATTTAGTCAGTATAGAACTTGAATGCTTCTCCCATTCATTTATTCAACATTGAAAAATGGTGCAATATGTGGTGACGCGCACTCAAAAGAGATGAAGCAAAGATCTCTAATCACAACTTTATGATCTGAAACTTGAATAAAAGCCATGGAGAAATATCTACATAAATTCTATGCGAAAAAAACCCTTTGATGCAATATTAGTTGAACAGATGTTATGGTTTGTATTTTAAATCGTGGAATCATTTGTCTTATCACTTTGACTAATGCCGAACCATGCAGAAAATATTGTCACCATAGACAAAAAACATAACTTTCCCAATTGAATTGACTTAAAACCCCATCGTTTGACGCCTACCCTATACGTAGTTACGAATATTTAGCTGGGTCAGCTAAGAACATGCGTTGCTTTAAAAAAAAAAAAGAAATTTCCGCTTCTTAAGGGCATAAATAGACCGATAAATCTGGTAGTACATTTATTGACAAGCGTTTTTTGCGTCCCTAAGAAGCTTTTGTCAGTTTATATTGTATTTGACGTTTCAGTATATGTACCACTGGTATGGTATATTGATTTCTGCTGATTTGCAAACACTGTTGAATAAGTATGAAGACTCGTATTTGCGAGCTAATTTTTTCAAAATGCTTTTTTTGCTTACGATACTTGACTTTTGTTATTTTTTCTCTTGGTATAGATTGGATAGACAAAAAGACAAATTGGTGAACCTAAGGACTATGAATTTGATTGGAAATTGGATGCAAATGAGACTGATTACGCAGAAGACTTAACTGAAAAAGTCGTAGGCAAAGGTGTCATGAATAGAGAAAAAGAATTGACTAATAGAGAGTAGAAGATCAAGTAATTGTAGAATATGTTGATATTTCGAATTGTTTTCTTACTTCATAATGTTCCAAAATAAATCCAGTACTTTGCTCTTTGAGCTCGTATCTATTAATCACTTTATGTTCATTTTGTGTGTGAAAAATAATAAATGATCAATTGTTTTTGTAAAATAATATACGAAATCCATGTTTGATCTTATTTTTATTAATCGGCACGGTCATCTGATTATGTCCCATTATGTATTGTTTTCATGTGGAATTGATATGAATTACAATGATCCCTCCCAAATTTGAAGTATTTTGATTAGGCTATGTATTTATATTTAGCATGATGGCAAAAATGTTCAAAAATATCAGAAAGAAGGAAAAAAAGATCTTTTTTCAATTTCATCAAACTCAATGATGGAACTTGAATAGAAAATCATGGAGATTCCTCCATAAATTCTGTGCTACAAAAAGTCCTTTCGACGGATGTTATGGTTTGTATTCGAAATTATGGAATAGTTTGTATTATTGCTTTGATCCGAATCATGAAAAAACCAATATTCGTGCAGGCAAGGAAAAAATTTAATTGCTCTCAATTGACTTTACTTTAAACTTCACACTCTATCATTTGACGCCTACCTATACGTATTTATAGAACACGTATCACACAGTGCAAAGAACAAAGAGTTTCCGCTTCTCAAGGGCACGAATAGGACAATAAGTCTGGTAATGCATTTATTTTCTGCGATTCCAAGAACAAAAATTGTTGAACTGATATCCAAAAGCAGACGAAATATAAAACACCAACATATTCTCCGCATGAAAATGTTTTTTGTTTTGACTGCATTTGCGTATAAATATTCCGATCATTTTGTCAGTTTCTTCAGTAGATCTTGAACGTTCATTCGGACCATTCATACACAATTGAAAATAAATATTTTGTCTGAGGTTTTGTTTGTTTGTTAACAATTCTTTTTGAATCGAAGAAAATGCATTTCATTAAATCCATTTCGATCATCTTCTTTATTGTCATGTTGGTTATGTGTCAATGCTTACAAGTGAACAATCAACGCAAATCGAACGGTAATTACATCTGACACTTTTCATACAATGGAATAAATGGAGTGGTAATAATTGATTATGTCTGTGTTACTCTTTTCAGGGGTTATTGAGTCTTCCCTTGGCATAGATGCTCGCGCAAAAAGACAAGTTGGTCAACCTCCTGGCGGTGATATTGACTGGGTTGTCCCCAAACATTAATTTCACAAATGTTATTCCGATTTTTCTTCTAAATCTTTATAATATTCCAAAATAAATCCAGTTCTCTGAGCCCGTATGTAATATTCAAATCATGTTTATTTCTTTTGTGAAAAATAAAAAAGCTCATTTCGACAACTAAAAATTCGTTTTGCACACATTTTCCCGACTGGCATATACCGATACACATTTACATACACTTGCGGTAAACGATGAACCATCTCTGGTCAGAGCCTGTCCGTGCGCTCTTTGCGCCCTGGTGCAAAATTGCCAGGGCGCGCTTTTCTTAGGATGAAATGAAATAGACTCAAAATCGTCTCAAAACGAGTAACTTTCTTGTTAGAAAAGTTCTGTACGCTATTGTGTGTATCGTTCATATTATGAACTTCATGGTGTTTCGTGTATTTCGAAAGGCACGAATAAAATCCAACGAAATTTGTCTTATGTAATACTGAAAATTTGCATTTTAGATTTATTGAAAACATTATACATTACTGCGAGCAAACTACAAAAAAATTTTGTCATTCCAAAAATATAGCGCTTGAATACACATGTTCACTGAGAATTACATGGAAAAGGGTGCTCAAAATAACTGAATATATTTTGTAGTCGGTTGAATAAATACTGAAATCTTATTGTTTAATATTTTTAAATTGGTAAAAAGTGCTTTAAATACAAGTGGCACTTCAATATATATATAAGCTGATCAAATGCTTTTGGTGCATTCGGCGCTCTCGACGCCTGAATTTTTCTTTTTTGGAAAATTTAAGCAATTGAGCGCCAGTTTGCACAAATTTCAGCACTCGCGCGCCTTCGGCGCCCTAGCGCCGTGGTGCAGCGCACCACTTGCGCCCTATCTGGGACAGGCCCTGTCTCTGGTCATTTCTATGTGAAAATTAGCAACCATTTCTGTTGGGAGATCCGATGCATTGATTGCTATCCATTAGTAGGGCACATTGTGACATTTGATTTTTGTTTTATCGATATATTCCATCAGACTGAATGGCGCCAAGAATATCTGGCTCAATCGACACTTTTGTTTTGGCGGCCAGTGAGTTAGTTAATTCACTTACACTTACTGTTCACAATCGATCTCATGCCAGTTTCTATCATTTCTTTCGATTCAAGTGCCAAATTGACTTGAGATACAGAGCTGACATAGGCACTTACTACCTTGGGTGCGCACCTAGTACTATTCGAAAAAAAAAATCGAGTATATTTGAGTTTGATATAATTTTTTTAAATAAATCTATGGTATTTAGATGATGAAAAAAATCAAATTTCAAAACATCCAAACATATTAAGAAAAAAAAGTATTTTGAAATATTACTAGGTGCGCATCCAACTAAGTACCGGCACCCCGTAGGTGCCTATGTCAGCTCTGTTGAGATATCAACGAAACTTCCGCAGGGATATCAATGAACTTAAACTTCCCTTCGCTGCAAATACAAACGAACTATGCACACCGATGAACGAGCGCAATCCGATTCGAAACGATCGCGTACGGTCTGCGAGAATTACACTCGTCAACAAAATGAGCACGAACCGCAAGCCACGAACAAGTTAATTTACGCATTTGGTTCACACTGTAAACTTGACAGTCGGCATCATGCAGAAATGGCGATTCAATCAAACTTACAATATTCATAGAAAAGAAATCTATTTCCTGAACGTGTGCGACACGAATTAATTCGATGCGAAAATATCACACCTTGAGTGAAATATTTAAAAATTCTTTTTTTATGCGTCATAAAATATTCAGATTTATTGATGATCATCGGTATTGGGGTCTCTCAGCATAAGAATGTTGAACAAAGAAATTGAAGATGGAAAATTTCCACTGAGAGCATCCGTATTTTTGCGGATGTGAAAAAAAGTAAAGCCAGAAGCCACATTAAAATTCGATATTGCTTTATCGTCAGCGCGGTACTTCAACGAATGACGTTATGTCTTGAGATCGAAAGCACTGAAGAGTGCTTCAACCAATGTTAACCCAATGAATTGGCTGTTACGGTCAACGTTGATTATTTGATATTAATGAATATATTCAAATATTGAATAAATTTCGCGTAAGAATGTCCGATTCGTCGGAGCTTTCATCAGATTCAGCACAAGAATGTCCGCAAATGTTTTGGAGCTGAAAAAAAAAAATCAAAACAAAATCAAACGTGTCCAAGTGAATACCAAGAAAAATAAACAAAACAAAATTTTTTCAGTCGAAATGTGAAAACAAGTATTTGCGCTAGCCCACTCTATAGATCATCAAGTGAGATATTGGAAATCAATGCTCAACAACATGAAATGATCATAAAAAAATTCGTTATTACAGTGCGGATAAGAGTCATGATGTTACACGAGCTAATCATGTCGTTTGGCTTATTTGAATACTAATCGAAATTGTTGTAGTGCGTACGTGCTCGCACACAGACACACACGCACAAGCACACACTCACGCACCCGTACACAGTAGCGGACAACGTTAGTGACGATTATGCGGCCCCCAATTCATTCAAAAGGTCTTCGATTCGAGATTGTATTGGTTTGTTTTTAAATGTGAAACCATATGCAAAGCGTCACAACTCACAACAAACAACATGCGAAACGTGACGACTGACTTCAGCTGGTTATAAATTCTTTGCACATCGCTGACGGAGAATTAGAAGCTTGCAGTCGTTCCACTGAAACGGATGTGTTAAATCTTACCGAAATTGTATTTTTCATTTTGTTCGTTATTGAATAAGTGTTGTGTGAATTTCCAAAATAAGTCGTTATCGATCAATAATTCTTGATTTGTTTTCCTTGAACGCGCTCTTCACTTTTGTTTTTTTTTTCATTGTTGTTTTTGATAATTTTGTGATTTTGTTACCTGAAAATAATCGAAAGTGACAATGTTTTCGAATCTGATTGGAATTTGCATTTTTGCACTTTGCATCGTTGAGTCCATGTGTCGACTGCGTAAGTGATTCTCAACAAGCCAAAAATAAAACATATTCACCATGTGTTTACTCAAGAAAAATATTTACACGGTCAATTCAAAGGTGCGAATTTTCGGTGCACCTCTTATTTGTGCAAACTGTTTTCGGCAGGTTAAATATCCGAACTATTTGCGGTCGTCGTCGCCTCTATTTTCTCATTCCATTTACACATATTCGTTCTACCGTAAACATCAAGTGACAAACATGATGGCTACATTAAATCTCAATCTTGATAGAAAAGTCATTGAATTTTGACATTTTCCGCCTCATTTTCGAATCACAAATTATGAACTAAATTGATGATTGTGCTTGATTAGTATTCAATGCTTCTTGGTCTTTTGTTTGGCGCACAATGCATTTGCATTCGCCACTGAACTATCAAAATGGTTTTAATTTCAACCAAATCCATTTGACGGCACAAGCACACAGGTTCAAGTTCAAAGTGTTCGTAGAAAATTGCGATTTTGTGTGATACGAATCCAAAATGGTTTATGGAAAAAATTCGAACATCATGCATAGTCAAGAGAGAGAGAGAGAGAGAGAGAGAGAGAGAGAAAAAGCCATCGCATTGAATTATGCAAATTGAGAATGCGATCGATGTGATTAGCAATGTCAATATCAAAACATATGTAATCGATCGGAGCCGGTCGATGAAGTCTGTATTTTAATCATACATACGTATAAAAAATCATTGGGAACCCCATCATATTAAGATCGAGAGTTGACAAGAAAAAAAAATGTCATTTCATTTTCCGAAAAATGTTGGCCTATAAATAGAATGGACAAGTTGTTCATTGTTGGTTTTGTGTTTGCATTGTGCAAAAGAAACCGTACAAAGTGATTATATAATTTAAATTGTAAATTCCGATTCGTTGGCGAATGGAAGTACCGTCGTTGTTGTCGTCATGGAACGTGAATTCCAAAAATAATTTTACCACTTTCATGATCACATGTGATTGCGATATTGAGCCTCTTTTTTGGTCAAACTTGACCAAATGATTCATTATCGATAAGCGTAATTCTTTCAGATTGAATGGAATGTTTTTTTTTGCATATCTGAAGAGAAGTCTTTTCAAAAACTGGTCAAACCCATCAAAAATTCCGTTGTTTTTGTCTCTGCCTCGTGTGTTTTCATTTTTTTTACACTTCTATGTCAGTCGATCACTTGTTTATCAGTTGAAATTGCTCATAAAACGTTTAACCTTTCTTCTCGCTGTTGCCGTTTTTGCACAAATATATTTGATGTGATTTTTATTTCCGTTATTGACAGTCCCATACACATAATGTATCAATCAATCGCACAATTTATTTATGAATTTAACGAGAAAAAAAGCGATGACGACGATTCCGCCTTTTTTTCCCTCTACTCTTTCAATTCCCACTACACATTCTATGGATATATCATGTTTTTTTTTTTCTGTTCAAGGGTGTTGCTGACATTGAAAATTGGGTCATTCATAACACGGTGCGCTTTTGAGCCTGTTCAATCTCAGTCGCATAAAATCATTCATCATTTTTGAAAGCAAATCGAGAGAGTGAGAAAGACACGAAAAACCTAGAAAATTGATAAAAACAGAGAAAAAAAAACGTTGATTTTTTTTTGCCAGGAGCAATGTGATGCGCGCAGTCTGATTCAAGCACATGCATATTTATGAAAATTTTATTCAAATTATGCTAAACATAAACCAAAACGAATCGAGTAAAAATCAAATGCTTTTTTGTGTGCCCTTCACATTGAATTCACACCGAAATGGACATCGATTCAATCACACTCAATGGCAATTAAATTTTAACGTCCTTTTGATTGAGAAAGTCGAACGTGATGTGCAACCGAAATTTCTTTCATTGAAACGCTGCTTCCTTCGATCAATTCTTTTAAAAATTCGCAACGCGTCGTTTTTATACTAACCTCATGCACGTGCATTGATTCTTTTCTAGTTTTTGCTTTTGCAAGTACGATGGCGAGACTTTCAATTCACTTTTCGTCGCTAAATGCTCAATAAGAATATAAATTTCTCTTTTGTCCCGATTCGACTTGTGAATATACCTTATTGTGTGTTGCAAGTGTTTGATTATTCCTTTGAAAATCGATTTCTAAAGGCTTAATTACATCATTTGACTATTGAATATTGACGCTGTGACAGCGTCGCTGTCTGTGATTGTACGTTTTGTATTGTCGATTCAAAAAAATCCACATTCGATACAAAAATCGAAGATTCTCAATCCATTTTTTCTTCTAATTGTGTATTCTAAAGTTGTGCCGTTCCGACGATCAACGATTCATTGTGGGTATATAACGAATGACTTGTTTCAGTGACGAAACCACGGGTGATTATGTAAGACTCTAGGTGACGCTCTTTTTTTTCTCTGTAAAATCAATGCTATTAGAGGCTGTAGAGACTCGATAGAATCGATTTCCTTCGCATTCGTCATCAAATCACATCGATTAATAAGTTAGAACGTTCTGCTTATATTTCACGTTGATTTGAAGTCTTCAACCAAATTGATTTAATCGACCGTTTAGTCGGTGCAAGTTTCAATTGAAAAATACCTATTTTTTGTTCTGATCGTTCTACGCAGTCTGTATGACTGGTTCGAACATAATTATAAATACATTTGCATACGTAGTAAAGAAGTCGTGTCAATGAATTGAGAGAGAAAAAACAACATGCAACACGATTCAATTTACACACAACTGGACACCAACTGATGTTTTTTGCTATTTGTAACCGTTCATAAATTACGGGAAGAGAGGTCACCAAACGCCATTTCTCGGTGTATGCGGTAGTTTAAAATCGAAGTAACAATGCACATTTCTAATCGTTTCATTTGAGTCGACGTGTGTTAATGCGCTGCATAATTAAGTGTGATTTTTTTACAACCTAACACAACCACACGTTATAATTTATTACAAAATCGACGCTATTTTGTTTCACTTGTCGCACTTGGTGGTTTTGCCTCAATTCAACCGCAACATTTAGCACTGATGCGTTTTTTTCTGTTTTGTTTGTGCGTTCACGCGTTTCTCTTTTTCTGTCTCATTCAATTGACGCATTGATAAAATTGATAGATTACATTTTCAATGATTTAATTCGATTATGTGGTAATAATTCCACATAAAGAATGAACAAGAAATCCACTTTGAATTGATGACCTGCATTGGACAAAAACTCGCTTTCGTCGAATTTCTTTTCATGTCTGCTTTTTTGTTTCGTACACTAAGCCAGAGACGCTGGTCCAAAGACTATGGACGTCATACTGTTAAGTACGCTTATCCACGTCAATTAACCTAATGGCATGAAACAGCACTTGATATAGACTCACCTTGAACTTGACCAAATCATTATATTCTAAATTTATACATAGAAAAAAAACCTCACAATTCTTGTTATTTCAACGAAGCGATTTATTCTTATTGCTCCTGACAGCCGGATGCTTGAACATTCAAGTGGACATTCAGTCAAATTGTTGAAATTTTATTTATTTTTTGTGCATAATTATTCGTGAACATTTGCTGAATTAGTTTGCACAATTCGGCGAGAGTGTTCTTTTGAGCTGGGAGCAATACGATATGTATTCATCTCAAGAGACATCTTCTTTCGCATTTAATGTTTTTTTTTATTTGATTTTGTTGTTTTTTTTTTGTTCTGAGTTTCTTTTTGTTTTTCATCTTCATATTTATTTTAATTTTTGGAATTGCTTCTGTTTTCAGCCTCAACAATTAAGATCTGCCCACGGAATACGCCAAATCCAAGCCAATGTATATTGAACGCAATCACTGACTTGCGACCACGATTGGCAAATGGTGATTTGGGCGATGGCGTCAAAACAGTATCACTTGAACCATTGGCATTGGACAACATTTCGGTTAAACGAGGCCCAGAATTCAGTGCAACATTCAATAACCTTTTAGTCAATGGCCCGAGCAATTTTGTCGTCTCAAATCTCAAGTACGTTCAATTGAAATTCTATATCAATAATATTGTTCCATTTGATACGCCGTATTTCTTCTTGAATTCCCTGACAATAATGGAATTCGAAGGCATTGTTTTAAAAACAATATTTTCACGTTCATTCGAATAAATAGATAAGAATTATAGTCTTTTAGAGTATTATTTCAAGTATATAGTCCTTGATAAATATTGATGAGTGTGTCAACTGATTGATTGAATTTTTAATAATGTTTACATTGTGTGTTTTTCAGAAGCGACATTCCGAACTTGAAATTCAATTTCACCGTTCATCTACCGAAATTGACGTTTGCCGGAAAATACTCGTTGAAAATGCGCCTACTTTTGTTGAACATCCAAGGTCGTGGTCCAATCAGTGGTGTTTTGGGTAAGGCACATTTTTGATCAAATTCGTTTTTTTTCGTTCTCAATATTTTTTCTTATTGAGGCAAGTTATTTCGTATCATTTCATCTTATCACATTATATCAAGTGACTAAAACATTTTATTTCATCATTATTGAATAGAGAAAATATTCCATTTTAATCATACGAATCCCAATTCTCCTTAGAAAATACCCGTGCCAATGTGCGTATCATTGGAAAGTTAGTGCCTGGCAAAAATGGACTTAAATACGTAAAATTCGGCAATCTCCAAATCAAAGTATCAGTTGGCGGTGCAAAATTCCGTTTAGAGAATCTATTCAACGGCGATCGAACACTCGGTGAAATTGGAAACACGGTCATCAATGAGAATGCACAGCTTTTCCTTGAGGAAATGATTCCGGGTTTCGAGAAAAGCCTCTCAAAAACATTCCTCGAAATCGCAAATGACATTTTAACTGAAGTTACCTACGACGAAATGTTCCCTGAAGCGTAAATCAGATTTCACACTCTCTGTGTGAACATCGATATATATGGGAATTTGTTCACCTTGGGAGGGAATGTAATTAAATTACAGTAATTTAAGCGCAGCGAAAAAAAAGCACACACAAACATACACATCATAATATCTGATAAGGTCTATAAGGCTTTAGTTTTATAAGGTTTTTTATGGCTAAAAACAATGTTGTTAGTGCACCCAGTATTAGTGATGTAAGTGCAAAAATCACATTTTGATTTGGCAAAAATGTTCGCCAGAATATTATAGTGAGTCGGCTATTAACTATGACCGGCTCATGCAAACGAGATAATTATATACACATGTTTGATTATAACCGTGTTAAGTCTAAGTTTAAGAAAATACATTGTTGACGGAAATGAACAATAAAAACCGTTTTTTTTTTCGATTTTGAATTGACATTTAATCCGATGCTATATTTATTTTTAAAAACTCGTGAGCTTAAAATTAGAGGAAATCTATGGAGCGCGTGCCACGCATACCGGTTGGACCGTGCGTAAACTGTGTTTTTTTTGACACAATTTTTATTTTGATTTTTACACATTTCTTAACCGCTTGAACTTGAAATCGTCAGAATTTATGAATTAATTTATAAGTTAATCAGTTGTGATTTCGTTGTGAGCTCGGCGGTGCCATATACCACTGTTGAGCTTCAGAACCGTCACACTCTTCGATCGTTAGCACATCAGTTTCCTCTTGTAGCGTTAAACAATTTCTGCCTTTGGTGTCTTGGTGTCTAATCAGGTTAGTCTGCAAATACAAGATTAACACATTAAATTAAACACGTTAATTATTTTGTTTCTTCTTCGGAAATTTGTTGGTTTTGTTATCTATTTGATTGATAATCTGTTTTCGTTTGATGTGTAATTCGATTTTATGACTCACAAACAGCAAAAAGAAGTATGAGAATAGTCACGTACCATGTTGTCAAAACTCCAGAATTGATTTCCGCCTTCACCGTGACACTCTAGCATCATTACCGGTTCATCGGGTTTGGTTGCATCCAAGCAGAATTTCTTTTCACGAATTTCACCTTTGTCCGTTATCATAAATACTTGATTTCCGCCTTGATGATGGCACGTTTTTAGCTCCAACTTCCGATTGAGAACACGTGAATCTCCCATTGAGTCGAGGCACGATTCATCTTCCAACACGCTTTCGATCTAAACAATATATGACATCATTATAAATGACGGAAGTAATTTCAAGCTTAGCATGCAAATTTTGAAAAAAAAATCATAGAATTTCACCTCGACCAGTTTATAGTTTGGAATATTGAATGGACTTTCGGAGAAAATATTTTCTAAAAACCACTTGAATGGCTTGCATTGAAGTCTTTCTCGCAGCAATTTTCGTTCGGTAACATTGGTGATTTCCCGTTGTGCTCGCGGTGAGTAGGCATAAAAGGTGTGCCGGTGCTCGTCCATCCACACTTCGGCCATTCTCGCTAAATTATGGGCAATCACATGATCGGCTCCACCGGGAAGAACATACGGTGAATTATCGCGGAAAATATGTCCCACTCTACTGCATGGCACCGAAATTAGTGTACCTCCACATGTCCATACGCGAACCGACATTTCCAGATTTTCACCGCCCCAGATTTTCATTTTCTCATCGTACGAACCCAAATTGTAGAAGTATTCGCGATCAATTGCATATAAACCGCCTGCCATCGCAGGCGATATGATTGGAGCGGTGCGATCGTTTTTCAGAGAAGCCAAAACTTCTTTCGGTATCTAAAATTTAGTAATCAGATCTTATTTACTGGTAATAATTCCCTTAATTATCTATACTTACTTTATCCCAAGTGAATGTAAGACTCAGATCGAATGCACCACGTGAATTTATTTCAGCCGTACGCACCTCCATCGTATCATAGTGGATTACATCGATGATTGGAGCTGCGACCGTTGTTCGACTTTCGACGATTGGCTTCAACAACGGTTCCAACCAACCTCGAGTACATTCACAGTGAGCGTCGAGAAACAGCAACACTTTGCCCTGAAATGAAAAATACGGACGAAAATTTAATCAATTTTCGAAATCCAAATGCTGTTTATTAATTTTCTGAACTATTTTTTTTTTAAATTACAATTAAATTTTGTATATGAAATTGTAAAAACGCATACCTTCGCTTTACTGGCCCCTAATAAACGTGCTTGAATCAATCCAACGCGGTCCATTGTTCTGGCCAATAAAACTGGAACTGGGAAATTGTGCACATAATCTTGCAATGGTTTTCCCAAGTGTTCAAACGTACTAAAATCGTCCACTAGAATAATTTCTTTCAACAGTGTTCGAGGTGATTGTGTGATTACACTCCAAACGGTTCGAATCAGAGTCGACCAAGCTTCATTATGATACACTATGACTATCGATACTTGTGGCAATTTCTTTGGATATTGAATGGGCTTGCATCTGTTTGAACAAATCCATTGATGAATCAAGATAATTTGCATTTTAATTAATTGAAAATTCCAATTTGAAAAAGAAAATGTTAAAAGACTAATTCTTACTCTGGATAACGAATATCGGGCATAGTTCGATTAAGCGACATCATTTCATTAGCAATGATGTTGAATCGATGTTCTGACCAACGTTTGTCGGCTTCTTCTTTCAATTCTGATGGAATATTCACCACATTACCTAATGGGACCAAAGTTTTTTTTTAATCAGAATAGACAGAATTGGATCCAAATCAAATGAAATCAGAAACGAATGAAAATTTGTCAGAATTGAACAGAATATATTCTGATATATCATCAAAATCGTCTAGAATTGACTCAAAATCTACAACAAATTACCCAAATTTCCTGGCTCTTCTGGTCGACTGATCGGTTCTGGTGCAGGTTCCCATTCAACTAGTTCGCTATCTAAATATTTCTCTGGCACTAATTGCAGGAATCCTTTTGCATTTTTATTATACTTGGGTGCTTTTGAATGGATTAAACTCCGAACACAAAGCGAAATCTATGAATGGGTCAAAGTTTTAAACACATTTTTCTTTTTTCTTACTTTTTAAATTCATTTTTTATATAAAAATGTTTACCAAAACTACAAAAAACGTGGTTTTCCATCCGTTTGACTTGAGGAAACCGTTCTTTGTCTCTTCAACCGTATCACATTCTTTGATCGCATTTGCACTTTCGGAACTCTTTTCAACATTTTGTGGCGTTAACTCTATTGCAGCCATTGTTAAATCCAATTTCAACTACTTAAATGCTAAAATAAATCAATTTCAAGTCACAGCAATCGAAAAAGCCAAATTTTCTCCGTGCAAACTAGAGAACGATTTGCACTGATCGAGAATGTTGATTCGAATGAGGTGAAACGAAAAATGATGACTGTTTATTATTCCACTTAGAGTTCAAGTAAATCGAGTGAAACAGACGTTGGCCTTTTTTTTCAATTCTTGTCTAATATTTGTATTGAAAACAGTTTTCAGTCTCGCATTTATTTTGATGTTGTCGCGTTCGTGTTAGTGCGTGTAAATAAACATGTTCTGGTTGAAAGCCGTAGCAAATGAAATGAACTGCTGCGTGTACGCATTATGGAATAGAGTATCTCCCTATGTGTATATTGTACATGTGGAATAGATGTCTTGACATCAACTATGTTCATTAAGTGGCGTGTACAACAGAAAATTACATTTTATTTTCAACAACATTTAATGGAAATCTCTTCGTTATTGTAATTCAGTGAATTTTCATTGATGTAACACAGAAAAAAAGTGCCGTTTCAAAAAAGGTAAACGAATTCAGACACGTTCGTCGGCACACAATTTTTGTTTATTCACACTGCATTCGCAAATGCTGAAATATGCTTTGAATCATATCATATTTGCCGTGAACTAAAATAAAATGCTCTAAATCATGTGGAAAATGGGTTAAAAAGAAACCAGATGCTTGCTTTTATTTACACTAATTTTATAACATACTCATATTTATCACTTGAATTTAAATGGCATTTATCACTTAAAGATACTGGCGTCGACCCTATCCTAGCTTAGATTAAATTACGAGCTCTCTTAACTCTTATCATATCCCGAACTATTATTTAAATTCCTGTACAGGATTAATTGAATACATATCATAGTACGACAGGTGTTTCAATGAAGAACTGCATCATTTTTTTTGAAAGTTGGTAAGGTTTTGTCGTTTCTCGGTATTTTGCGTTTCCAGTGTACAAGTCATTGTCAAATGAAATTGCATGCCATTTACTCCCATTCCTAGTGGTTTTACGGATATGATTACTTCTACAAAAATTTTCAGCGGGCAATTCTACATGGAAATAGACTTTACAGATCCAAAAATTTCCAATGATTGTGTGAAATATGGTCAAAAATGTCCAAAATGCCGCAAAATCTATGAAAATCACAAAAAATCGACTTTACCTCGAAAATTCCTGAAATATACACTTTTCAGGTAAAAAGTTATTTTTTCTCAAAAATATGGGGAGTCTTCTCAGTCAAAAACTCATAAAAGTGACTTTTTGAGGTACAACCCGAACAAAACACGATAATTTCATGGCAAAATCCATGAAAAATGTCACTTTTGTTCGGGAGGTACCTTAATAAATCACTTTTATGAATTTTCGACTGAGAAGACTCCCCAAATTTTCGAGAAAAAATAACTTTTTACCAAGACACCAACCCTGAAAAGTGTATGTTTGAGGAATTTTCGAGGAAAAGTCGATTTTTTGTGATTTTCATAGATTTTGCGGCATTTTGGACATTTTTGACCATATTTCACACAATCATTGGAAATTTCTGGATCTGGAAAATCTACACCACAGGCCATAAGTTTGGATACCCCTATGAAACGTTTGTTCCTACGTTTTTTGAACATTTTCACTTGAAATTTAGTATTGGATATGAAAATATATCGAAATTCTGACCGAATGGATGATTTGGAAGATAACATTTGGCCAGCCTATGGCCATCTTTTGGCCTTTGAGCTGTGGGAGCCAAAATCGAAGTCTTGAACAGGCCATCGGATTAAAAAGTTATATACGCCATTGGAAAGGTCTTGAAAAGTAGATGTGATTTGTGGTAATAAACATCAAAATCGGCCGGCGTTTGGCCAAGATATGGCCGTTTGTAATTTTTGGCCGAAATCTTCAATCAGCCATATCTTGGCCAAAAGCTGGCCGATTTTGATGTTTAATACCAAAAATGATACGTACTCTCCGAGACCTTTCCAACGACGTATAGCATGTTGAAATTTGACAAGCGGTTTGAAATTTAAAAATTTTGGGCCAAATTCATTCATAGGGGTATCCAAACTTATGGCCTGTGGTGTATTTCCATGTAGAATTGACCGCTAAACATTTTTGTAGAAGTAATCATATACGTAAAACCACTAGGAATGGGAGTAAATGGCATGCAATACCATTTGACAATGACTTGTACACTGGAAACGCAAAATATCGAAAAACGACAAAACCTTACCAACTTACAAAAAGTAATGATGCAGTTCTTCATGATTTGAGGCCCTCTTTCAGCCCTTCAAATATCTCGCCAGGGACAAAATAAAAAAAACACCTGTCGTACTGTGTATTCAACAATTTGTCGTTCATTTTTTGTCGGGGCAGTTTTAAACTGCCATTTGAGTCGATGGTAACGATGGCAATTTACCATAACTCTTCTTGTACACTCTCGCCACCTTTTTATCGGCCTGATCCAACGATCGACCTTTGGTCTCTTCCATCACTGTGAGCACAAACAATGCACCAAGCGTACATGTGACGGCATAAATCAGCATGCAACCGTGCAGCCCAATTATGCTCATCAAAATCGGAAATAGCTTTAAACATGTAAAACATGCAATATTATATCCAAAAGTGGATATCGTCAAGCCAAGCGTGCGAATCTGCAAGAAAAATCAATCGTTGTAAAAAAAAATGTAAAATAATTTCAATGAAACACCGAAAACAATCAATTTTGTCATAGTTAAAACTGTGATTTTCCCAAAAAAGTTACCTTTGACGGCAGATTTTCCACGGTGCACACAATGGCCAACGGAATGACGCCAGCCGATGCGATGAAAATGACAAAAGACAAGCACACAACGGGCATCCAGTCAAATGAGGATAAATCAAAGCCAATGTGGCTCAAATACGCGTACAATGCAAATGAAAACAGTCCAAAAGCAGAGCCAAACAATGAAGTTAACACTAAAAACTTTCGGCCCAAATGATCCGAGAGTTGTGTTGTGAAGAAGCTTCCCATAATTTGAACGATGGCCAATGTGATGGAAGCAATGTATGGATCGATGTGTGAAACTCCGACTTTTTCGAAAATTAAAACGGCATAGGTAACGAAAGTAAAACCACCCGTTAATTGCGTCAACCATGCCAGAATCACACCAATTGTCAATCCACGTATCGCAGCTTTGTTAACTAAAATGCAGAATTTTTGTTTAATTCAAAAAAACATGTTTCTAAACTAATTCTTATTCATTTTGGCAATGGAATGCTTACAAATATCTTGGAGATAAATTTTCTCATCCGTCTTTTTCTCGTGCGCAATTGATTTTAGCCGCTCAAATTCCGCATTGATCGCATTCACCTCATCAGCATCTTCGCCTTTGCAGCCTTTGTAAAATTTGAGTGAATCTTCAGCTTTCTGGGATGGAACAATTTTCAAAGTTTTAGGCTAGGGGGATTTCTCACACAAAAAGTTTGAGCAAATGTGCAAAAATTTCTGTTATTTCTTCTTTTTGATTGAAATTGTATGAAAATGTACTGAAATGATGATTTTGCTTGAAAAAAAGTGTTCTGGAAGTGGGTTTTGGTAGATCCTCAGGATGGACCAGATCCGGTTTGACATTGCCCTGGCCCATCCTGAAGATCCACTTCCAGGACCGGGAACAGTTCTGAACGATCCTTGAGATCCACCAAAACCCACTTCCAGAACAATTTCATTGAAGCATAATTCAAAAGTTCAGTGTAAATTCAGTGAATCGGACCGAATTGAAGAAATTTTTCAAAATTTTTAAGAATTCATTCATTTTTTTCGTGAGAAATCCCCCTAGGTTTTAGGTTAAATTTCAATAAAAAAAGGTAAAAATTTGAAAAACGAGGTACATGATAAATTTGAACTTACTTTCGATTCACCCCTTAGTAGATGATACTGCGGTGTATTTGGAAGGAATGTAAAAGAGATAACGAAGAGAATCGGGACGATAACGAAGATGCATGGCACCGTGTAGTAGCTAACAAATGCACCCAAAATATAAGCAGTTAAAATGCCGATGTTTCGTGCCAACGGTGTATAGCAGCCAAGTCGACCACGAACACTGAAATACACAAAAACATTCAACAGTTGTAATACAACTTTTCATGCGAACTACTTTGTTTATCAATCGTTATCAATCAAAGCAAAGTGTCACAGAATATGAGCAACTACAGAAACCAATGTGAATGTAACAAAAGACACATCACATTTTGAAACAAGAAACTTCCAAGTGAACTTTGATCACTATATCACAAATAAAGATTAACATTTTCAAGTGCATCTCTGCACGTATTTAAACGGAACTAAACTAATGTTGTTTTATAATGACAAAAAAAGCATCACTCACTTATTATTGGCGATCTCTGAAGTGAACAAGATTAGAGTCGTTTGAATGCCACCTCCAGTCCAGCCAGTAAAAATTCTCGCCACTAAAACGTGATAATATGTATCGCCAATGAGAATCAGTGCCCAAAAAAGTATTGAAGGTACTGAAAGGAGCAACATCGCTCGTTTGCATCCAATGAAGGTAGTTAACAATCCAGTGCTAAATGTTCCACATATTGCACCGATACTATTTATCGATCCAATCCATGACAGCTGCTCGTTAGTTAATGGTCCCGTTTTCAATGGAGTACTCTCCGACAGGAGTTTTGGTAGCGATGGGCTAAGCCATCCAAGCAATAACCCATGGCCCAAGCATATTATATTTGCTGAAGAATGAACGAAACTTTGATTAATTGAAAGAAATATCATGAAATTGATGAGATTTCTATAGAAATCTTTGTAAAATTTTAAATATATTTACAATTTTCGCCTATTTCTCAGTACTTCTTCTAATAATGGCCCTCTCACGTACCGCGCCTACCCGCTGCCACCCGGTGAATATACATTAAATATAATACAAATTTAGCGGTAGATCACCCGGAGGAGAACCTACTGTATAAACAGAGTACACATAGTACGTAGCGCTACGTGTGTATGGTACACAAAGAGCGCGCACACATTTAGAGGCTCCATATGCACTTATGCTTGTGTGCGCGCATCGCTAGCTGTTGTTTGTGTGAACGTGAATGCGCGCACACAAGCATAAGCGTATGCAGAGCCTCTAAATGTGTGCGCGCTCTTTGTGTACCATACACACGTAGC